GTTTAGTTGCCTACCCAGCAGGGTAAGTTCCTTGGAAGAGATCTTGTTGTGTGGGAATTTATAGCCATGCTAGACCAGCTGGAGTGGGCAGCTTTTCTCATATCTTCTGGAAGATACATCCAGGTTAATGTGTTCGTGCCATTTTTGTAAAGAGACGCAGGTCCAGGTAAAAGTTCTTTGTTGGGTGCTGTCATTATTGCCGTCCTGTCCTGCTTTTTGGTTATCTACCCTGCCTCCCACACACAGATTTACACTTTATATTACACACAGTTCCCAGCACCACCTTCAATAACTACCTTCCAGTCATTTAAAAAACAGCTTTATTGAGATGTAATTCATATACCGTATAAGTCACTCGTTTAAAATATCCAATTCACTAGTTTTTAGTGTATTCACAGAGTTGTGCAACCATCACCACAATCAAATTTAGAATATTTTCATGACCCTGTTCCTTTTTTTTCTTCTGAGACAGGGTCTGGCTCTGTCGCCCAGGCTGGAATGCAATGGCTCAATCTTGGCTCACTGCACCTCCGCCCCGCCATGCTCAAGCAGTCCTCCCACCTCAGCTTCCCAAGTAGCTGGGACTATGGGCGCACTCCCCCATGCCTGGCTAATTTTTTGTAGAGATGGGGTTTCACCACGTTGCCCAGGCTGGTCTCAAACTCCTAAACTCAAGCCATCCACCTGCCTCAGCCACCGAAGTGCTGGGATTACAGGCGTGAGCCACCATACCTGGCCCCGTTCCTATCAGGCACTCTTCATTCCTACCCCCACCTCACCAGACCTTCATCCCTAGGCAACTGTTCATCTGTCTCCATTAATTTGCCTGTTCTGGATATTTCACATAAATTGAATCAGTTAACACCGTATTTGGCCTTTAGCGACAGACTTCTTTCTGTTGCACAGCCTGGAGTACAGTGGTGCAGTCATGACTGACTGCTGCCTCAGCCTCCTGCCTTAGCCTCCTGAGTAGCTGGGATGATGGGTATGTACCACCATGCCCGGCTAATTTTTCCATTTTTTGTAGAGGCAGGGTCTAACTGTATTGCCTAGGCTAGTCTCAAACTCCTGGGCTCAAGCAGTCCCCCCACTTCAGCCCCCAAAGTGCTGGGATGACAAGCGTGAGCCACCATGCCTGCCAGCATAATGTTTTCAAGGCTAATCTATGTCGTAGCATGTATCACTATCTTATTATTCCTTTCTGTGGCTGCATTGCGTAAATGTACCGCATTTTATCTGTTCTTCAGTTGATGGACATTTAGCTTGTTTCTACTTCTTAGCTATTATGAATAATGCTGCTGTGAATATTCATTTGTTCTAGTCACTTTAAGAGAGATCAGTGCCATAGAAGAAAAGTCGAGGGCTGGGCTGCTATTCTTTCTCTTGCTGCCTTTTCACTCCTCTGCTCCTATAAGTGGGAAACCTCCAACCATAGTTTCTTCAGGCTTCTGCAGAAAGCTTAGAACCCCTCCTGCTTCTGGCTCCCTCTGAGAGGCACAGGAATGCGAAAATGAGAAGGGCCGCTCCTGTACTTTCTTACTCTGCTATTAGCTTGGTAATGCCTACTTTGTTCCCCAATGTAATTTTCATAGCAGCTTTTATAGTTTTTATACTAGATACATGATTTGCTTAGTTTTATCACCCCATCAAAAAAGCTTCCTTTATTGGGCTGGGTGGCACCTGTAATCCCAGCACCTTGGAAGGCCGAGGTGGGCAAATTACTTGAGGTCAGGAGTTCAAGACCAGCCTGGCCAACATGGTGAACCCCTGTCTTTACCAAAAACACACAAAAAATTATCTGGGTGAGGTGGCAGGTACTGGTAGTCCCAGCTACTCCGGAGGCTAAGGCATGAGAATCACTTGAACCCAGGACTTGGAGGTTGCAGTAAGTCGAGATTGCGCCACTGCACTCCAGACTGGGCAACAAAGGGAGACACTGTCTCAAAAGAAACAAACAAACCACCACCAACAAAAAAGCTGGCTTTATCAAGTACAGTCATGTGTTACTTAATGATGGGGATATGTGCGGAAGAAATGTGTCGTTTGCCAGTTTTGTTGCTGTGTGCATGTTAGAGTACACTTACACAAACCTGGATAGTAGAGCCTGCTACACACCTAGGCTACATGGTGAAGCCAGTTGTGCCTAGGCTACAAACCTGCACAGCAGGTTACTGTTCTGAATCTTACACATAATCCTAATACAATGGTATTTGTATATTTAAACATAGAAAAAGTACAGTGAAAATACCATATAAAATATTCTTTAAAAAGGCACACTTGTATAAGGCACTTACATGAATGGAGCTTCCAGGACCGGAAGTTGTTCTGGGTGAGTCAGTGAGTGAGTGGTGAGTGAGTTTGAGGGGCCAGAACATTGCTGTACACTTTACAAACACTGTACACTTGGCTACATTACATTTATTTTAAGAACATATTTTTTCTTCAATAATAGATTAACCTACTCACTGTAACTTTCTTACATTATAAACTGTAATTTTTTTTGACTTCTTGACTCCTGTAGTAACACTTAATGTAAAACAGAAACACAGTACAGCTCTACAAAAGTATTTTCTTTTTTTTTTTTTTTCCTGTGACAGTGTCTCCCTCTGTCACCCAGGCTGGAGTGCAGTGGCACAATCTTTGCTCACTGCAAGCTCTGTCTCCTGGGTTCAAATGATTCTCCTGCCTCAGCCTCCTGAGTAGCTGGGATTACAGGCGCCCACCACCACGCTCAGCTAATTTTTGTATTTTTAGTAGAGACAGGGTATTGCCGTGTTGGCCAGGCTGGTCTTGAGCTTCTGACCTCAGGTGATCCGTCCGCCTTGGTCTCCCGAAGTGCTGAGATTACAGGTGTGAGCTACCATGCCTGGTCCGGAAGTATTTTATTTATATCTTATTCTATAAGCTTAAATTTTTTCTTTTTTTTTTACTTTTTAAACTTTTTTTTAAAAAAAAACAAAGACACAAACACACGTTAGCCTAGCACATAGAACTACATAGGGTCAGGATCATCAAGATGTCACTTAGTAATGGGAATATTTTAGCTTCATTGTAATCTTACGGGACCACTGCCATACATGCCCTTCACTGTTGACCAAAATGTTATTATGTGATGCATGGCTGTACTTATTCTATGCCCAGGCACTTTTTAAGCACTTTATATGAATTATTTAATACTCTGAGCAACACTTTGAGGTTGGTACTATTATCACCTCCATATTTTAGAGGAGGAAATTGAGATTCAAAGAGGTTAAGCAGACCTGGTGCGGTGGCTCATGCCTATAATCCCAGCGCTTTGGGAAGCCAAGGCAGAGGGGATTGCTTGAGACCAAGAGTTTGAAACCAGCCTGGGCAACATAGTGAGAACACTGTCTTTACGTAGAAGTAAAAATGAAAAAATTAGCTGGGTGTGGTGGCATGTGCCTGTAGTCCTAGCAACTTGGGAGGCTGGGGCGGGAGGATTGCTTGAGCCCAGGAGGTCAAGGCTACAGTGAACTATGATCACGCTACTGCACTGCAGCTTGGGTGACACAATGAGACCCTGTCTCTTAAAAAAAACAAAAAAGATTAAGCATTTTGCTTGAGGTAACATAGCTAGTGTGTGTATTTGGGTTCTAACCTAAGTATGACTGTAGGGCTGTGGTTGTGAAAATGGCACAGGGTCAGGGAAGACCATACTTGCTGCTTATTTTTAACAATTGCTTTTCCCCTAAGCTGCCTACCTGCCCTTTGAGTGAGAAGAGCCCAATTTATGGGCAGCTGAATCTGTGTCAGGGAGACTTCTGCCCCTGGGTTTAGGGTCAGTGTTTTTCCCGAGTGGCCCTGGGTGTTTAATGGCTGCAGTAGGGGTGCTGTGGGAGCCTCCGTTTTCTCCCGGAACAGCAAGCTGATGGAAAGACCTCTCTACTGGATAAGCGTGTGCAGCCTGCCTCAGGGGAATTCCACTTGTTCTTGCCTCTGCCTGGGAAAGCCAGGTTCTGTCTTGTTGCAGGTAGGGCTGGGGCTGGATGTAGCATAGGCAGAAAAGGCCTTGGGGTGCTACTTGGTGCATGCTGAGCCCTGTGTCCCTGCCCTGGGGAGTGTGGAGTCCTGCCCGCTTTCTTCCTCACGCACCCCTGGGCTCTAGGCCTGGCCTTCAAGGGCGTGTGCTTATGCATGTTCATGGGCAGGTCTCAGCCCAGTGCCTGTGCCTGGGAGTCATTATCCTTCCAGGTCGTGTAGAGGCTTCCCTAATGGAACCTCTAGTAGGTTTTCTGAGTGTCTGTGCTTGGCTTAGGCCAGCCCTGGGCAATGCCCTTAATCTGTTCCCTGAACTTTTGGTTTCTCAGAACTTCAGGTCCTCTGTGTGAATGGCTTCTCGCTGTGTGTTTGAGTTTTGCTGTGTCCTAGAGCTCCCTGATGTGGTGCTGTGATGTTGGGGGCCACCAGAGCCTGTGTGAGCACAGGCAGGTTCTTCCCTCCCTCCTCGTCTCCCCGCTTTTCCTATCTGATCATCCTAATGCAGCCCCCAGCCTGCGCTCTGGTTCCTCCTGTGTCTGTTGCTCTAGGAGCCAGCTCAGGTATCCTAGAAACAAGAAGAGAAACAAAACTCAGAAAATGCTCTGAGGCCCAGAGGCGAATATCAAACCGAAACAAAGTTTTCTGAAAGGAAATGAAACAGCACAGGGAAGGAGGGTGGGCAGCCTGTCAGGCAGAGGTCGGTAGGACTCAGGCCGAGCATGGAGCCTGTTCTGGTGCCTCCTGCATCTCTTCCCTGGAGTTAGCCCTTGGCTGTTGTTTCCCCACAGGAAGCCCTTTGCCAGAGTTGGCCAGACAGTCCCTTTGAGAGACTTAGTTGGGCCTTTTCCCCAGCTGGCTTGGTGGAAGGTTGATGGGCGTTTGAGCCCAGCACAGCCCCTGGTGCCCATGCGGCGTCAGCCAGTCCTGAGAATGGGTTTCTCCTGGCTCCCGTGCCAGAGTGGCCTGGTGAGTGCTCTGTATACAGCTGCCCCTCTTCTGCTGAGATGGGAAGTGTCCTAGCTAGGTGATGGGTGTAGCTGGCAGCTAAGAAGAGACCTCTTGGTTGCTTTAAGTGGGGAGGAGAAGAGGGAAACCCTGCTCTCCTGAGAATGCCCTCCATTTACCCAGCCCATGTTAGAATTTATGCTGAGATCCTCAGCTTCAAAGCACTGCACTGGGTGTGACGGAATCCTCCTCGTGAACTGTATTCAGTGACACCTGAGCTGAATGAGGGGGCACAGAGCTGCCTTCTTCTTCTCTGTAGGGCACTTGCCAGGGATAGTAGAGAGACCAGGGACCTGAGAGAAGAACAGGCTGGGACTTGGTACCCAGGATCACGCAGCATGTGAGCAGACAGGCCCGTGACCTCATGTTCTGCTCTTTCCACCACCACACTGCCCTCGAGCATCAAGCAGTCCTAAATGCCTGAGGTATGGGAGAACCATGGACCGCTCCCTAGGGCCCTGCTTCACATGCTGCTACCCAGGAGGTTCCTTGGCAGCCAGGACTTTGAGATCTTGCAGCCAGTGACTTGAAGATATATTCACTCATTTACAAATATTTACTGAATGCCTATCTTCTAGGCCCTGGGAATTTAACAGTAAGTAAAACAGAAATACCACCCTCACAGAACTGGCAGACTGGGGTCTGAAGATAGATCCCCTCCCCTCAATGTAAGTCATATGGAATATTACCAGTTGATGTGTACTTTGGAAACAGTATGAGCAGTTGCAGTGCTGCAGGAAGGGTTGTAATGATACATAGGGCTAGAGGGCGACTTTTGAGCGAGGCTGGAAGCCCCTTTGGTATGCCTCTGTGAGTCACTCTCAGACTTTACCTGGTCTGGAAGAAAAACATTCAAAGGCCCAGGGTCTCTGGTTGGATCTCTTGTGTCCTGCTCCCTGTGTGTTCTGTGCCATGCGTGGCTCATCCCATTGGGGGATGGAGAGTGGTGGGAGGTGGATCCTGTGGGAATCCTGGGCTCTCTGTGGTAGCAGCAGGCCCAGACCTGTGTCAGGAACGGGACTGTTGAAGGCTTGGCCCTTCCTGGGCAGTGGGCCCAGCACCTGGTGCGAGTACTCCGCCACATGACTGCCCCAGGTTGAGGCCTGGATGGACTGAGGCCTTATACCCTCCCTGTGAGAGTGAGCAGCCGCTCTGCACCCTCAGGTGCTGAGTTGCAGGACTCAGCTGGTTGGGCCAACCCAGCCCTTGGCATGTGGTGAAATCCCAGCCAGCACTGCAGGAAGGACTCACCCAGCTGGGCAGTGTCAGGGGATGTGGAGGGAAAGACTGATACAAACCAGGCCCTGCCCTCCTCTCCCTGGCTGACCTAGGAACTTGCTCAGAGTTCACCAAGAAGGCTGAGAAGGCTCCTTGCTGCTTTTGAGAACAGGTTGGATCTCAACAAGCCAGGCACACAGGGAACCTTGGCCATGTTGCTTTCACTTCAGCATCTACGTTACCATCCCTGCGTGTGGAGCTTTGTCCGTTGGAATCAGGACCTGATTCCATCCAGCAGCCTTGCTGCCTGGTGGGAGAGGTTGTCCCGCCTTCTCTGCGAGGTGGGCAGAGTCCTTGATTGTCTGCTTCTGGCAGTCAGGGGGGTTCTTCTCAGGTTTCTTGGGGCCAGGGAGTCTCAGGGTAGGGCCTGGGACCTCCATGGCACTGTAAGGTTTTCCTGGGCCTTTCAGGCTCTCTCTTGCTGTCTTTCTCTTTCTCATGTTGAATGGCTTCCAAATAAAAATACTTAAGTGATGAGCTCTTATGTGGTCCCTTTTCTTGCTTAGCTCTTCTGTGCCACACCTGAGAATTTCTCAGGCTATACAGGGGCCAGGCAGGGTATTAGAGGACGGAGAGATCGCCTCATTGCCTCTAGCCAGCCATCCTTCCATCTATATAGTGTTCCTGCACACATGCACGCTCCATCCACCCACCTCCTTCCACCGTGGAGCTGAACATAGGAGAAGGAGACAGGATGTCATGTCCCAGGAAGACTGAGTTTGGATGCAGTGACATGAAAAGTGTTTTAAGCAGTCCGATGCACTGCCCTTTAAAGGCCAAAATGCTGCTTTGGGATGAGAATTAAGGCAAGACTCATAAGATTGCACATAGAGCCCAGTTTTTCTGGATTTGGAATATGGCTGGCTGGATTATGCATCGAGTCAATTCAATTAGATCAACTCTCAGCTGAAGCCCTCTACCATGGTTCCTGTGTAACGAATCCAAAAGCCAGGGAACTTGTACCCATTCAGACTAGAAGCCTTTGCTGGAGAGACATGCCTGCAGAGGGCCTCAGGTCAGCACAGATTGGAAGAAGGTTCAGAAAACATTGGTTAACCACTCAGAATTTTCTGAGCTCTGAATTCATGATGGTGGCGGGCCGGGGGGTATTACTTTTTATACGCTGCATAAAGTATTAAAATCTAAATAAATCTGGCTGGGTGCAGTGGCTGACACCTGTAATCCCAACACTTTGGGAGGCCAAGGGGGGTGGATTACCTGAGGTCAGGAGTTCAAGAAAAGCCTGACCAATATGGTGAAACCCTGTCTCTACTAAAAATACAAAAAAAGTAGCCAGACTTGGTGATGGATGCCTGTAATCCCAGCTACTCGGGTGGCTGAGACAGGAGAATTGCTTGAACCTGGGAGGTGGAGGTTGCAGTGAGCTGAGATTAAGCCACCGCACTCCAGCCTGGGTGACAGAGCGAGACCCTGTTTCCAAAAAAAAAAAAAAAGGAAGGGCTGAGTAGGGTGGCATGGGCCTGTAATCCCAGCTACTTGGGAGGATGAGGCAGGAGGATTGCTTGAGCCCAGGAGTTGGAGGATGCAGTGAGGTATTATCACACCACACACTCCAGTTTGGGCAACAGAGCGAGACCCTGTTTCCAAAAAAAAAAAAAAAAAAAAAAAAAAAAAAAAGAGAAAGGAAAAAGGAAAGAGTAGGAAATGGAGAAAGAAGGAGAAATAAAATAGTGAGGAGGAGTTGGCAGATTTGAGGAGAAAATGATGTGGCCCAGGAATTCCATAGCTGTTGGTCAGCCTGGCAGTTCTGGGCATATCTGGTCACATTGGAGGTCCCAGTGTCCCTGAATTTGCATATTGAAGTGGTTTATTGAGCCCAAGATGCTTAGCATTCACTAGCAGCTTGCACCCACCTCTCTTCAAGGTTCCAGCCAGTAGTGGTGTTCAGATACAGGGGCTGCAGTAAGGTCCCACTCGGGAAAGGTCTGGGGGAAGTAGCTGTCTGCCCTTTCCCTCCTCTCCGCCTTTCCTAGTTGCAGGCTCTAGGCTTGTTCCTGTCTGCTAGTTCAGTGCTAATGAAGAGGTGAGGCAGAAGGGGTAACGGGCCAGGGCCTGCTGATGGCCAAGAAGCCTGAGGAGAAGCTGCCTTGCTATTGGCCTTTGGCTTCTTGCCCCCAATTCTTACTACCCAGCTTCCCTCTCCGGAGCTGCCTCTGGAAAGGCAGGACCTGATTCCATCCAGCAGCCTTGCTGCCTGATGGGAGAGGATGCCCCCACCTTCTCTGCGAGGCGGGCAGAGTCCTTGACTATCTGCTTCTGGCAGTCAGGGGAGCTCTTCTCAGGTTTCTTGGGACCAGGGATTTTCAAGGTGGGGCCTGGGACCTCCGTGGCACTGTAAGGCGATCCTGGGCCTTCTCAGGCTCGCTCTCTCCCCGTATCCTATCTGACTGAGCCTCTCTGCTGTGTGGCTCCATGCCTGGCTTCCCACTTCCTTCCTCACTCAACACATGGAGGGTGTGGGGGGCCAGCTCTTGCCAAGTACACACATGGGTACAAACAAGAGGCCTTACATCTTAAGGCACACATGCTTGATATACGTACGCGTGGCCCCAAGCTTGGATACAGGCTGTACACCTGAGGCCTGCTTTGCCCAAATCACATTTCTTCTTCCCTCCTACACCCCTTCCTGAGGTTTGCACAAGGGCTGTGGGATGGCCTGTGTTCCTGCTACCCTTCGTGGGTATGACCAGAGATAGAGCTGGTATTTAGGGAGCTGGTAGTGGGGACAGGCTTCCAGGGAGCCCTTTCACCTCGTGGGGCTACAGAGATAGGCTCTCTTGGATGGGGAAAAGGAGCAAGAACAGGTTGCCAGAAGAAAGCAGTGGAGGCTGGGTGCAGTGGCTTGTGCTGTAATCCCAGTACTTTGGGAGGTAGATCACTTGAGCTCAATAGTTCAAGACTAGCCTGGGCAACATGGCAAGATCCTCTCCCTACAAAAAATACAAAAATTACTGGCATGGTGGCACACACCTGTGGTTCCAGCTACAAGGGAGGCTAAGGTGGGAGGATTGCTTGAAAAGTCAAGGCTGCGTTGAGCCATGTTTGCACCACTGCACTCTGGCCTGGGTGTCAGAGTGAGACTCTGTCTTAAAAATAAAGGAAAAAAAAAAAAAGCAGCAGAGCCCTTCTGAGCTCTCTTTGCCCAGCTCCCTCTGCTGGGTGACCAGAAGTCCCGGGTGGCCTGGAGGGCTCCTGGGGAGCTGTGGTTTGGTGCTCAGCCTGGTGTCTGCTCCTCTCCTCAGGTGTGTAGTTGTGTTGTTCAATCCCCGGAAACACAAACAGCACCACATCCTCAACAGTTCCAGGTAAATGGGCCTGGGTCCTCGGGATACCTCTTCCTTCTGGGGGCTGTGAGAAGGGCACTGTCTAGAGTCTCTATGGCTCTGGGGGCTGGGACCAGGTTGGGCCCTAGGGCCAGATGGAGAAGTGCCACATATGCCGTTGGTGTCTGCTGGTCTCACCTCTGGAGAGGCTGGGATAGAGCTAGGCTTAGGCCAGGCTGCCAGTGCCCCTCTGAGCTTGCCCCATCTCTTGCAGGAAAACCATCACCGCCCTTGCCTTCTCCCCTGATGGCAAGTACTTGGTCACTGGAGAGGTGAGTGAGGAAGAGGGCTGGCAGTACCGTAAAGAGGGCGGGTAGCCTCGCCTCAGCAGAGGAGAGCTGCAGTCCTAGGCCTGCTGTCACTTTGACTTCTGAAACAGACACCAAATCCTGGTTTTCACTGTACCTTAAAACAGTGGTTCTCAAGCTTTAGTGTACATCAGAATTACCTGGAGGGCTTGTGAAAGCAGACCTCGCTGGGCCGGTCCTCAGAGATTCTGATTCTGTAGGTCTGGGATGGGGCTCCGAAATTTGCATTTGTAACAAGTTCCAAGATAGTGCTGTTTGCCACTGGTCAGGGAAGTGTGCTTTGGAAACCTCTGCCTTAAATATTCCTTATCCCCGGGGGCCCCCTGCTGGGCTCAGGAGGAACGCCTCTGTCCCAGCGTAGTCTTACTAGGGGCAGACCTGAGTGGTAATGGCTCTCAACGCCGGGTGCCCATCAGAACCATTCAGGGAGCTTTGAGCAAACAGAGGTACAGACTGCCCAGAGATGCTGAGTAAAATCTGGGGCCGCTTTCTCCCTGATAATCAGTGTTGCTCTCGGATCTTTGTCATATTTCCTCTGTTCCCTGCCCTGTATAGCACCCCACTCGACTTTTGGTTGATGGGGGAGGGATGGTATCCAGTAGCTGAGGAGGCAAGGGCCCCGCTGTGGAAGGCCAAGCAGGGGTGGTGCTGTATGCCTGTGGAGAACTCAAGAAGTTGTTTGGTACCAGCCCTAACCCTGTACGTGGGTGCCCTTAGTGCCAGTGGTGACGAGGGATTGAGAAAAGAAAATAAAGACAGAGACACAAGCGTTAATGTACAGCAGGGTCCAGGAGACCAATGCAAGCATGGGAACTGTTGGCCCCAGCACTGTGCTCCAGACACTTTTATTATGTGCATAATCTCATAGATCTTATGGGCGTGGAAGGGGAGGGTACAGGGGTGTCTAAGATAGCCTGGCGGAGAGCACTTGAGATCCTTCTAAGACATGCTGCACTAGTGCTCTGAGTTTACCACTGATTGCTATCAGGGTGCGGCTGCATCAGAAGTATAGCAGAGGAGGAGCCACCCGCACCCAGTGCACCCAGGGGCTTTTGTCAAGGGGCATTGAGGACATAGAGCAATCAAAATCACTCCATATTCCGAGAACCTAGGCAGAGCCTGAGGCGTTCGGTGATCTCTGCCCTGCAGGGCTTTTCTCCTCCTTGCCAGCTCCCATGCGGAGGTCGCCTCCCTTCTCAGAGATCTTCGCACAAGCCCATTTTATGAGACCCTCATGCAGTCCCCATGTTGAGAAGGCGTTCATGGGACCAGAGCAGTATTGCCTGCTCTGCAACCGCCCCTGTATTCCCTGGTATTACTGAGCTCTCAGATGGTCTTTACCTTAGGCCTCCTGTTGCCACTTGGTTTCTAATTAACTGCACCAGTAATATAGTTTAGTTCAGCGTATAAACTTCAGTCTGCTCTGAGCCAAGTAAGCTTAATAATTACTTAGCTAGAATTAACATAGGTCTCCCCCTGGCCATCTTGACCCACAGAACTCACTTCCGGTTCTTGCCTCCCTGCAGAGTGGGCACATGCCCGCCGTGCGGATTTGGGACGTGGCAGAGCGTAGCCAGGTGGCCGAGCTGCAGGAGCACAAGTATGGTGTGGCTTGTGTGGCCTTCTCTCCTAGCACCAAGTACATTGTCTCTGTGGGCTACCAGCATGACATGATCGTCAACGTGTGGGCCTGGAAGGTGAGTGGCTGGGTGGGGTGGCCTGGCAGCCTCACAGTGGTCAACTGTCAGCCGGGGAGGCAAGAGACTACTGACCTGCACTGCTCCATCCACCCCACCGAACCTTTCTCATTGTAGAAAAGGATTTGAAGCAGAAAAGAGCAACCGTTTAGCCAAGCATGTTGGTAGAAGGGGGCTAGCTTTATACCTTACAAGGTCTTGCAGGAAACGAATCTTTTCAGCTCCTCTAGAAAGGGATTCTTTCACTACCCCTCTTTTTCCAGCCAGTAAATTCTGGGAAAAAAAAAACCACTTTTTCAAGTACCAATTCTAACTCTCCTCCATTCTCTGAGTCACTATCTTCTTAGCTCCAAGAGACAGAGCCTTGATTCTTCCCTTTGGTATCCCCTCCAGAAAAACATTGTGGTGGCCTCCAACAAGGTGTCCAGTCGGGTGACAGCAGTGTCCTTCTCTGAGGACTGCAGCTACTTTGTAACTGCAGGCAACCGGCACATCAAATTCTGGTATCTCGATGACAGCAAGACCTCAAAGGTGAGGTGCTGAGGCTAGGAGTAGCCACCAGGGCCCTGGCCAGGGCCTGCTCAGCCCTCCCCAGGAGCTCTGCTTCACCTGGGCCTCTCTGCATCCCCAGCAGTCCTGCAGAAGTTTTGGATGAGCCAAATGCTGTCTGGGCTGAGGAGCAGGCTGAAAGAGCAAGGGGGCCTGGAGGTGTCCCCTCTCCTGGGGCCTGGTTTGCAGGGACAGGCTCTGGAGTGGATGGGGGGATAACAGTGGTATGCCTCCACAGGTGAATGCCACTGTGCCCCTGCTGGGCCGCTCAGGGCTGCTGGGAGAGCTACGGAACAACCTATTCACTGATGTGGCCTGCGGCAGAGGGAAGAAGGCGGACAGCACTTTCTGCATCACGTCCTCGGGGTTACTGTGCGAGTTCAGTGATCGGAGGCTTTTGGACAAGTGGGTGGAGCTGAGGGTAAGTACCTCCATCCCCAAGGGTACAGTCAGCCCATATCTCAGTTCAGGGGAGAACTAGTGCCCAGGGCTTCAGAGTAGGGGCTAGGCCCTTATTAATACATGAGATCCCAGGAGAATGAAGCTTGAGGGAGCTAGAGCTTGGCCCAGTTCCAGCCCTTGGCGATCTGTATAACTGCCTCCTCTCTGCTCTTTCTGTCTCTCTTTCCCCTGCTTTCCCCTTCTGCTCAGAACACAGACAGCTTCACAGTAAGTGGTGCCTGCACCTTCCTCTCTCTCTCATGCTGTTTCTTTCTCTTCACTGGGCTTTTCCTACTGGATCCTCTGGTGCCTTAGAAGAATCCCTGATTCCTGTCTCCCGGCTGCACGGGGCTGAGGGGCTCAGAACGGAGCAGCTGGGCGGTTTTTCCCTTGCCCCTGCCTTGGCCGGTCCCTCCTCTTGGCAGGTGACTGTTGATGGGCGGGGAGGAGAGACTACTGAGGAGTGGGCAGATGGCCTTGCTGAGCTGAGCCGCTCTGCCCGCAGACCACAGTGGCCCACTGCATCTCTGTGAGCCAAGACTACATCTTCTGTGGCTGTGCTGATGGCACCGTGCGCCTTTTCAACCCCTCTAACCTGCACTTCCTTACCACCCTGCCCCGACCCCATGCTCTGGGGACAGACATTGCCAGCGTCACTGAGGCCAGGTGAGCTACGTGGGCCCCATTCCTCCATTCGTAGCCTTGCCCCTGTCCAGTCTTTCTTGGCAGTGCTTCAGGGAGCAGGTGAAGAGTGTATTGATGACCCAGAGATTACTGGGAACACCTTTTTAGACAGAAGAATTTGGGTTTGTTGGTACTCGTTGCAACCAAGGAGACCCCACACCATGGAAAACTGTGGAGAGTCTCAGGAAGTGGGTGTTGGAAGGGGCTTATGGGATTTAGATAATATCTAAGAGGTGAAGGAAAGGTATGGGCCTAAAGCCGTATTTGGTAAAGAAGCCGCCGGCAGTCATGTAGGTGGGAAAGGGTGGTGTTCGGTCATTGCTGTGGTTTGTATAGTGATCTTGTTTTTATCTGTGCAGAGTAGTCTTGTTTTTGTTTTGCCCCATCACAGCCATAGAATCCCCTTGTCTAACATTGGTGTTCTGTGAAACTGTGTTCACCTGAACACCATGCCCAGCAGCTAGTGCCAGGTCAAGTCCCTGCTGATGGCTGGTAGGGGCTCCTTCCTACTCGCAAGCAACTTACTTCCAAACCTGCGAGTCCGGGAGGGCTCCTCGCACAGCACCCCTCCCATTGCGGATCGGCTTCCCGTTTCATTCCCTCCAGCCTCACCCTCGTGCCCTGTCCTTTCCCTACAGCCGCCTCTTCTCTGGAGTGGCCAATGCCAGGTATCCAGACACCATTGCCTTGACCTTTGATCCTGCTAATCAGTGGCTGTCTTGTGTGTACAACGATCATAGCATTTATGTTTGGGATGTGAGGGACCCCAAGAAAGTGGGCAAGGTGTACTCGGCCCTGTATCATTCTTCCTGCGTCTGGAGCGTGGAGGTATGTGGGCTGGCTGGCTGGAGACTGGCCAGGTTGGCTGGGATACCATTTGGAGGACAGAAAGTAGGGATCCCCAAGTGTAACCTTATGTTCCTGCTGCCTCCCTGTTTCTCTAGTGACTTCCCTGTGAGAGATCCTGGGGACTGAGTTTGCATGTTACAGGCTTCCCCAGTGTGCCCCATTCTTAGTTTTGCCTCAGTGATCTTGGACAAGTTAATGAACTTAGCCAAGCCTCAGCTTCCTCAGTGTAAAATGATACTTGATTCACCTAATTGTTGTAAGAATAAAGTGAAATAATGTAAGTGGGAGACATGGAAGAGTGGCTGGTAGATAGCGGGTGCCAGGTTAACATGCTTCCTCTTGGTCATGATGAAGAGGATATACCAGTTATAGCCATGGCGGGCTCTGGCTACCATTCCCTCTTCCATCCCATTCCCTTCCATCTCCTTGGGTAGGCAGAGGACTGCTTCCGAATGGAGGCCTAATTGTGTTCCCTCGGCCCTTTCAGGTCTACCCCGAGGTCAAGGACAGTAACCAGGCCTGCCTGCCCCCCAGTTCCTTTATTACCTGCTCCTCAGACAATACCATCCGCCTGTGGAACACAGAGAGCTCTGGGGTGCATGGCTCCACCCTGCACCGAAACATCCTCAGCAACGTGAGCCTGAGGCCGTGGGGCCCCCACCGCACCCTCAGTGCCCCCATCCCCACAGCTTCTGCACCTTGATTTTGGGAACTGGGCCCCTAGACCTTGGCCTTCTAGCCCTCGTTTGGCTGTGTTCTGTGATCCAAGGGTTGGTTTTGCTCAGGTTTCTCTCACCTCGCAGCTGTACTGGTCAGGCCTGCCTCATCCGCCTCTTCTAACCTGTTGCACTAGGACCTCATTAAAATCATCTACGTGGATGGGAACACCCAGGCTCTGCTGGACACAGAGCTGCCTGGAGGGGAGAAAGCTGATGCGTCCCTGATGGATCCCCGTGTGGGCATCCGCTCTGTGTGCGTCAGCCCCAATGGACAGCATCTAGCATCTGGGGACCGTATGGGCACACTTAGGTAATGGTAGGCCCAGGGTGGGTACTGATTGCCTCTCATGGTGCAGAGTCAGGTATTTAGAACTTTAGGGAGAGTTTGACTCAAAAATGTTGGACCACAAAATATTTATCGACAAGGGAAAGATAATAACTTTACAATGAGTAAACCTATCAGAAATCATCTTTACCAAGTGATTAAGATTAACATCCTCGTATCAACATCATGAAGCCCATGATAGGATGTACTAAGAAGGGTGTGACAATGTTTCTGTGGTGTTCTTAACAAAAATGCATAACTCAATATAAGTATGAGAAAACATCTGACAAACTCAAATTGAGGTGCATACCACAGAGCAATCAGTACTCTTCAAAAGCGTCAAGATCATGAAAGGTCAGGAAAGACCGAAGGACTGTTAAATACTACAGAAGTCTAAGGAGAAGAAACTCAATGCAGTTTGGACTCTGGATAGGATCTGGAGTCAAGAAAAAGGACATAGTGGGAAAACTGGTGAAATTTGAGTGAGGTTTCTAGTTAATAGTATTGTACCAAGATAAATTTCCTAGTTTTGATAATTGCACTATTGTTAGGGAAAGCTGGGCAAGGGAAATATGGAAGCTTTCTATTCTTTCAGCAACTTTTCTCTAAACCTAAAAGTTCAAAAAAGGGAAAAAAGGTACGGGGACAAAATGTAGCAGAGGAGGTAAGTCCTTCCTGCAGCCTGGCCATGTCCTCTTCCCACCTCTTCTCATTTCCGCAGGGTGCATGAACTTCAATCCCTGAGTGAGATGCTGAAGGTGGAGGCCCATGACTCTGAGATTCTGTGCCTGGAGTATTCTAAGCCAGACACAGGTCAGGAGAATGCCCGGAATGGCCCAGGGCTCACCCAGTCCTGCTGGTACCACTTACATCTGTCCTGGCTCTTGGATGTGGGTCGGTAATCCTTTGGATCACTGGGGTCTTTGCTGGTTTAGAGGAGGACAGCTCTGACCTTGCTCCTTGGTTCACACAGCTTGGTGTATGGGGCTCAGTTCCCTCGGGGCTCTTTGTCAGGCCCACATAAGGGAGTTCAGGGCACTCATGGGCTGATGGAGTTCTCCCAACCCCAGGTCTGAAACTGCTAGCGTCGGCGAGCCGGGACCGGCTGATCCACGTGCTGGATGCGGGGCGGGAGTACAGCCTACAGCAGACCCTGGATGAGCACTCATCCTCCATCACTGCAGTCAAGTTTGCAGGTGGGGCAGGGTGAATGAGACACATGCTGCCACCCTCATCCCCACTGCCATCTGCCTCCCCCTCCATGAGAAGGGTCTGCCGGTCGTGGGGGAGTGTTGGACAGCAGATGGGAGGCCTGGAGCTGGTAGGAAGACAGGTGGAACAGAGACTCTCAGTGCAGGGACTTGAGCCCGTCAGGTTGGGCTGAGGATAGGGAGAAAGGAAAACCTGGGTTTCGAGGTTTAATTTAGTTGGTTTTCCCTGGCATGTAGAGTAGCTTGATGGGGGTTCATATGGAGGGAAGGTGGGAGACAGGCTGCTCCCATGTGGTGAGAGTGGTGGGAACAGCTGGGCCCCCCTCCTTCATAGCCAGCGATGGGCAAGTCCGCATGATCAGCTGTGGAGCAGACAAGAGCATCTACTTCCGCACTGCACAGAAGGTGAGGGCGCGGGGCTTTTCTGAGGGGCAGGGGCAGGGCGGAGTCTACCATTCCCCTGCATGAGGTTACAAGAGGTGAAGGGAAGGGAGGCGCAAGTTGGTCTCTTGGGGCCTGGTGAGGCATCTGGGTGTGGGCCTGCCCACATGCTCCGCCCCTGCAGTCTGGAGATGGAGTGCAGTTCACACGGACACACCACGTGGTGCGGAAGACGACCCTCTATGACATGGATGTGGAGCCCAGCTGGAAGTACACGGCCATCGGCTGCCAGGACCGAAATATTCGGTGGGTGTCTCCTCAGACTCTCTGCCCACATTCCTTCATTGCCCTAGGGGGTCAGCTCCATGCAGCTAAGTTCCCACATCTGTTGTTCTGTCCCGGACCTTGTACCCCCTTGAGTTTACAGTACTTTGCCTCACCCAAGAGGTGGTAGCCCCTTTGCTGCTGGGGGTGGCCCCAGAGAGCATAGGCCGGGGGCGAATGTTGGCCTTTCCATCACCCAGGCGTGCTCTACCTTCACAGCCTGCACATGTGAAACAGAGTGTGTTTCTTACAGGATATTTAACATCAGCAGCGGGAAGCAGAAGAAGCTGTTTAAAGGGTCACAGGGTGAGGACGGCACACTCATCAAGGTAAGGACCCAGGAGGGGGCACTGGACAGGGGCTTGGGGACAGGGTGGTACCAGGTGGGACTGGCACTTCCTGCGTCCTCCAGCTGTGTGTCCTGCTCCTCAGGTGCAGACAGACCCCTCAGGGATCTACATTGCCACCAGTTGTTCTGACAAGAACCTCTCCATTTTTGACTTCTCCTCAGGCGAGTGTGTGGCCACCATGTTTGGGCACTCAGGTGAGTATAGCCTAAATACCTGAATAGAAGCTGATACCTGTGTAGAACCTGAGTGAGTTCTATCCCTAGAACTTCACTCTTCTGTTAGTTTCTTGGGACCCACAGAGCTACTCCTTCTACCCTGCAGCCAACCCCTGTGTCCAGTGTTGGGACTGAGTGAACTTGGTTGGGAATTCAAGGTGGTTTATAGACCGTATTCTTTGTTCTTCACAGAGATTGTCACTGGCATGAAATTTAGTAATGATTGCAAACATCTCATCTCTGTGTCTGGGGACAGGTGAGCAGAAGCCAGCTTCCCTGAGAGACAGATTCTTACTGTGCCAGAGCACCCTGCCCTCCTCTCTCTTCATCTCAGCGATGTCTCTGGGAATTGGGGTTAACAGGGATATCCCTTGGCTATGCCTGACCTGGAGGGTGGCTGGGGTCTCCTTCCCAGCCATGGATAAGGGGAATGAATGATGTTGCCCCCTTCAGAGTCCTCCCTGTCTCACCCAACTCTGTGGCTTTACCCCAGCTGTATATTTGTGTGGCGCCTGAGCTCTGAGATGACCATCAGCATGAGGCAGCGTCTGGCGGAGCTACGCCAGCGTCAGCGGGGCGGCAAGCAGCAAGGACCATCCTCTCCTCAAAGGGCTTCTGGACCCCACCGGTGAGAACAGAATGTGGGCAAGTGATGGGTGGGTATGCAGATGGCTTGCTGTGACCTCAGCGCTCCTCCTCCATGCTCTGGGCCTGCCATTCAGCAACTGTCTCCCAATACCTCTCACACAAGGATCCATGAGATCGGCCTCTCCCCACGTTGAGTCTCCTCGCCCCCTGTTGAGTCCGTCTCCCGTGCCCTTCCTTGTCTCAGACTCAGGCACCAGGCCCCATCGATGGTCTCTCCTGGACCGGCTCTCTCATCAGACAGTGACAAGGAGGGAGAAGATGAGGGGACTGAAGAAGAACTTCCAGCACTGCCCGTCCTTGCCAAGAGTACCAAGAAGGAGCTGGGTCTGTGGCAGTTGGGTGCGGGGCCAGACAGACCCTAGTTGGTATAATTGCTAGATAAGCTTTTTCTGGGACTGGGGCGGGGAGAGCAATGTGAGCTGAGGAAACTGAGGCATCATTGTGGTCACATGGTATGAGCTGCTGGGGCCAGGGCTCCAGGGGTGGGTGGGCAGGAGACACTCCCTCTGACTGCCTATTTCTTTCTAGCCTCTGTCCCCAGCCCAGCATTGCCCCGAAGCCTGTCCCACTGGGAGATGAGTCGGGTGAGTTGCCATTGTTAAAATGTTCTTCCGAGGTTACAGGAGGCAAGGGGAGGTGAGAGCAGGGCTCTCTGGGCTGGGTAGGATATTGGGGCATGGGGGCTGCCCACATGCTGCACTCCTATGTCCAAGGAAGGCCTTGTAGGGAAAGTTGAAACACTGGGCCAGTCCTGGGTATGGGATGAAGAGAGCCCAGGTATTTCCTTCAGATGAGGACCAGAAGAGGTGGGTGGAGCATGGGGTTGGTCAGCACTTAGGGAGGTGCTGCTGCTTCAGGGGGAATGGACAAAGGGCCGCTAAACCAAATAGTGAGAGCTAAAGTGCAGGAAACCGAGGATGCAGAGAGCAGAGATCTAGAGAAGCTAGTTCTAAAGACCCTTGTTAGGTGGTGAGTGGAGAATTTACAGAATAGTTAGAGGGAAAAGGCCACGAGGGGACCAGTAACTGAGTGACTGCTGTGGGATGGCCGGAGGGGGATGAAGGTGTTCCGAGCAAGTCCCCAAACACCAAGACCTTCCGTTGTCAGCAACAGTTTCACGAAGTGATGGCGCTGTGGTGGCTCTGGTGCACCCTGACCAGGCCAGGGGTCTCAGGCCTGGGCTATAGGTTAGTCCTCCATTCTGTGAAGGGTCTTTGGGGCCCCCAGCCATTGGAGAAGTTGGGGTAGAGAGAGGCAAAATGAGTGGTTGGTGTAGACAGGCAAAAGTGGCCTTGGCCCTGGGCTGGGTTTCTTGGAGGACTCTTGGTAGTAAGAGGTTGCTGCTGGGGCTGTCCTCAGAACTGGGAGACTTTTAGAGACTCCCAGCTCTGAGGCGTCCATGACACCAGGCGAAGGCTGAGACTAGAGATTCCTGTGCCAAAGGATGTGGAATGCAGCTAAGAGCATGAACTCTGGAGCCAGACTAACCTGCAGGCCACTTACTGTCTGTGGGATGTGGGCTGGTCACTTAAGCTCCCTGTGCTTCAGTCTTCTCATCTGAAAAACAAGGACTATAATAGTGCCTATTTCAGGCCGGGCACGGTGGCTCACACCTGTAATCCCAGCACTTTGAAAGGCTGAGGTGGGTGGATTACAAGGTCAGGAGTTCGAGAGCAGCCTAGTCAACATGATGAAATCCCATTTCTACTAAAAATACAAAACTGAGTTGGGCATGGTGGCGGGTGCCCGTAGTCCCAGGTACTTGAGAGGCTGAGCTAGGAGAATTGCTTGAACCTGGGAGGCGGAGGTTGCAGTGAACCAAGATTGCACCATTGCACTCCATTCTGGGTGACAGAGCAAGACTCTGTCTCAAAACAAAAACAAAACAAAGCAAATAGTGCCAATTTCAACCTTTCAAAAGGTTGCTGTGAGGATGAAGTAAGCTAATAAGTGTAATATGCCAGGCACACAGTAAGGGATATATTTTTATTTGTTGATCTTAACGTGTGGTTGTTACTACCTCCCACCAGGCACAGGAGACCATGGGGTTCCTGGACCCAGCTCCTGCAGCCAACCCAGGACCCAAAAGAAGGGGGCGCTGGGCTCAGCCTGGTGTGGAGCTGAGCGTTCGATCCATGCTAGACCTACGGCAGCTGGAAACCCTGGCCCCAAGCCCACGGGGCCCTCGCCAGGACTCGCTGGCCATGATCCCATCTGGTCCTGGGAAGCATGGGCAGCAGGCCCTTGAGACTTCACTCGCTAGCCAGGTGAGCCAGCTTTCTCTCAGCTCTCTAGAGAGCTCCAGGGGGCCTTAGGCAGCCTTTGCCACTAGCTGGGACCTGAGCCCTGGTCCAGCTCTACTTGGTCTGCCTCTGTGGCACATGGTTAACCAGAACTGCAAAGCTGGGATAGGGCTGGCTGGGGTGTATGGTTTGGTCATCAGGGCAGGCAGGGGAGCAGTTGGGATAGAGAGGCAAAAGTGGCCTTTGCCCTGGGCTGGGTTTCTTGAAGGACTCTTGATATGAAGTGGTATCTGGAGGTTGGCAGCCCAGAGTGTTAATGTAGTTCATCCAGAAGCTCCCATCAGCAACTGGAGCCCAGCCTGGCTTCTTGGTCTCTGTCCTCAGAGCTAGAGTATTCTGCTTCCCCCAGAATTAGTGCACACCACATCCTTACTCACCTCCACCTCTTCTCCAAGGGGAGGGTCACTAAAGGCTTACCCCCCAGCCACCCCTGCCTCATCCCTCACCTCTTCTCACATCAGCTGCTTTATGTGTTCCCAGAATGAAAAGCCCACTCGGCCTCAGGCTTCCCAACCCTGTTCTTGCCCCCATATTATCCAATTGTTGTCACAAGAGGAAGGGGTCTTTCCCCAAGATCTGGAACCTGCACCCGTTGAAGACGATATTGTCTACCCGGAGCCGAGTGACAGCCCCACCATGGATGCCAGGCAAGGATCTTGCCCTGGCCAGACCTTGTGGGCCGTGCAGCGCCCTGTCTTCCCCTCTTTCTGAGTGTTATTTAGTTGGGGGAGGGTTGGTCCCCAGGATCCTCAGGGCTTACCTACCAGCTCACCACTGCCTCATCCCTCACCCTGATCACAGGCAGGAGTCCAGTGGGGATGCTGCTCACCCATGCTCACTGCCTTTTCTTCTCCCTGCTGGAATCCTGGCAGTGAGTTCCAGGTGCAGGCTCCAGCCCGGGGAACTCTGGGAAGAGTGTACCCAGGCAGCAGGAGCTCAGAAAAGCACAGCCCCGACAGTGCCTGCTCTGTGGATTACAGCAGCAGCTGCCTTTCCAGCCCCGAGCACCCCACTGAAGGTGAGGCTCAGCGGGGATGGAGGGCTCATGGGCTGGGGTGCGGGAAGCCTCTGGCAACAGTTGGGTGCAGTGCAATGCCTCTCTTTTCTCCCCACACCAGACTCCGAGAGCACAGAGCCCCTCAGTGTGGATGGCATCTCCTCAGACCTTGAAGAGCCAGCTGAGGGTGATGAAGAAGAGGAGGAAGAGGAGGGAGGCACGGCCCCTTATGGACTGCAGGAGGGAAGCCCCCGGACCCCAGACCAGGAGCAGTTTCTGAAACAGCACTTTGAGACTCTGGCCAATGGAGCTGCTCCAGGTGTGGTCAGAGGGCCAGCATTTAGTGCCTGCAATTTGCCCATCTCCCCTCCTTGCCTCCCTGAGAGGAGGGTCCCAGGGTATAGATATTGTCCGGGCTTTCCTTCTCAGGGAAGCAAAATCTGGGCCAAGGGCTTGGTTTCTGCCCCAATTCATGATTTCTCTGACCCTGGTAGGGGCCCCAGTGCAGGTGCCAGAGAGGTCAGAGTCTCGGAGCATCTCTTCACGATTCCTGTTAAAAGTGCAGACCCGCCCACTCAGGTACAGAGACCCCGTCCACACAGCAGCAGCTCCAGCTCTCCTGGCCTCCCAGTGCTGCTGCCCTCTCCTCACCAGGGTTCTGTCTCTTCATGCCCGGGGTGTTTTCACGCCTGGTCCTGGGCTAACTGGCCTTGCACCAGCCTGTCTGGCTTTGAGCTTGTCCTTCTCTCCTAGTGCCTTGGTGCCATGAGTTTCTCACCATTTTGGCAGGGAGGAGCATTGAACCTTCTCTGGGCCTTCTTCCACATTTCCTCCCTATAGGGAACCATCCCCATCCTCCTCAAGCCTGGCACTGATGTCGAGACCAGCCCAGGTGCCACAGGCATCTGGTGAGCAGCCGAGAGGCAAAGGTGCCAATCCCCCCGGAGCACCCCCGGAGGCAGATCTATCCTCTGGCAACCGCAGCCCCCAGCAGGCAGCCACTGTGCTGTTGCCACGATGCCGTCTCAACCCTGACAGCAGCTGGGCTCCCAAGAGAGTGGCCACAGCCAGCCCCTTATCTGGACTCCAGAAAGCCCAGTCTGTGCATAGTCTGGTGCCACAGGGTGAGGAGCTTGCAGGGCTTGGTGCCACGGTGCAGTGTGTGTGGAACAGGTGTACATGCTGGAGGAGGGAGGGCCTGGTGTAGTCCTGATGTGTCACTGTGCTGGCCACTGGGTGTCCCTTAATGGGCAGGTGGAGGGGAACAGCAGGTCTTAGGTATTGGGCATTGGTATCTGGGATGCCTTTCTTACCACCTGAACTGTGTATACTTCTGTGTCCTTTGCAGAAAGAGATGAAGCCAGTCTACAGGCCCCTTCACCAGGCCTATTGCTCTCTCGGGAGATCAAAGCTCAGGATGGTCAGGGCTCCCTGCCCCTGGCTGATGGCCGTCTGTCTCGGCCCCACTCTTACCAGAGCCCCACCACCAGTTCCATGGCCAAGATATCCCGCAGTATCTCTGTTGGGGAGAACCTGAGCCTGGTCGCCGAACCTCCAGCTCCTGCCCCTATCCGAGTCTCACCACTTAGCAAGCTGACCCTGCCCAGCCGGGCTCACCTGGTTTTGGACATCCCCAAACCACTGCCTGACCGTCCTACCTTGGCTGCATTCTCACCTGTAACCAAAGGCCGGGCCCCTGGTGAGGCAGAACAGCCTGGCTTCCCAGTGGGCCTAGGAAGAGCTCACAGTACAACTGAGAGATGGGCCTGTCTGGGGGAGGGCACCACTCCCAAGCCTAGGACAGACTGCCAGGCTCATCCTGGGCCCAGCAACCCCTGTGCCCAGCAACTGCCAGTCAGCAGCCTCCTCCGAGGCCCTGAAAACTTGCAGCCCCCACCCCCTGAGAAGACTCTCAACCCCATGGACTGCGCCAAGCCAGGGGCAGCCCTGAGCCAGGACTCAGGTGTGCACAGCTCCCTAACTCTCATCTCCTGCCCCATTCTCTCTGTCCCGTCTCTGGCTCCATCCCATTTCTGTGCGTTCAGCTTCTGGTGTTTCTCGTCCCGTCTGCTCCTGTCTCAGGTCCATAAGTCACACCCCTGATGGTGAGACACTCCTGCTAACCTTCATGATTTCCTTGCGACCCACTTGCCCATTCAGTGCCTTCTGAACTTGGGGCTGGCCTTGTTTGTGTGGTCCTCTGGACCTTGTTTGTGTGGTGTTGGGGAGGCCGTTGGAAGAGAAGGCAAGAGGAAGGGATTGAGGGCAAGTTGGGGGTGTGCTGCTGAGGGCTAGGTCTCTCCTGCTCTGAGTGTCTTGGGTGGGGAGGCCTAAAAGGACTGCAAGTTGGGCCTCACTGAGCCGTATCCGTCTCTTTCAGAACCAGCAGTGAGCCTGGAGCAGTGTGAGCAGCTGGTGGCAGAGCTCCGAGGCAGCGTGCACCAGGCCGTGCGGCTCTACCACTCGGTGGGTATTCGGTGCCCCCCGGCAGGCGGGTGAGCACGTCAGTAGTGCTGGGTGTTTGGATAGCCATGTCCAGAACAGTATGCTAAGGCTCTTGTGCTGACACAGTGGAACACCCAAGAACATTGTGGGCACCATAGGTGAGGGGGTTAGAGGCCAGGCTAGCCTCTTGAACCGGGCATCTGCGGCCATTTCTGGTTAAGAGCTGGAGACTTGCCTCAGGAGGTGAGCCATGGAGAGATCACATCTAGCTGGCTCAGGGCAATCCGTTTATGCCATTGTCCCAGTATTATTATTAATGGCATCCTTTTTTATACCCACAAATTATTTGGCCTCCTGAGACATAGGGAATAGTCCAGGAGGGCTAAACTTTGACAGAGAAAGTTGATTCTGCCTGAGTTGTCATAGGAGTTGCTAACAAGATGTAGACGGTTCTGTAATCTAATGGGATTCTCCTTGGGGGTCACCCCCAGAGTCTGCCTGCATCCCATGTCCCCTTGTCATACATGATGATCTTGGCAGGTAGAATTCCCAGCTAGTCCCTTCTTCTAAGGCAGGCTGGACCCAGCTGGGGCCCCTCCCTTTTGTGTGTCCTCCACCTCACTTCCCGGGGTCCTGTTTCAGGTGGCTGGCTGCAAGATGCCCTCAGCAGAGCAAAGTCGGATCGCCCAGCTCCTCAGAGACACCTTCTCTTCAGTGCGACAGGAGCTGGAAGCCCTGGCTGGGGTAGCACTGTCCAGCCCAGGCAGTAGCCCTGGGGCTGTGGGAGCTGAGCAGACACAGGCCCTGCTGGAGCAATACTCAGAACTGTTGCTTCAAGCCGTGGAGCGGCGCATGGAACGCAGACTCTGAGATTCAGAAGCCTGCCCCAAGTGAATGAATGCCCCAGCCATTCTAAACTGCAGACCCTCTGCCACTCACCAAAATCTGCGGGGCTGCTTGAAGTGGAAAGCAGGGAGCAGTGTTGAGAGGCGAAGCAGCCTTCCCAGCCACTCCTCGTGGGGCACCTGTATTTATTAATTTATTTCCCTGACTGTTGCCTCACTTCCTTGGAACTCCTGCCTCCACAGCCCCTCCAGTGGCAGGGACGGGTCTTGGGTCTTTGTCATCTTGGTGCTGTGAGGGGTAAGAGGGCAGCCTGCCCCATCTAGGAATCTGGAAAGGGCTGGCCCTCTCTTAGAAGCCATTTGAAATTACTGCAGGGATCAGCTCCCTGGGGTGGAGCATACACAGGGTACTCTGGGGTCGAGGTGACAGGTCATGTGGTATTCAGTGCCCTTCAGCCAACTGGGGGCCTTCACCTCTACCTCCACTTGCCCTCTCACACCAGCTGCACTCCCCTGGCTGCCAGAGCAGGGTGGTTTTCCCCGATACCTGGCAGCTCAGAAAGGCAGAGCCATCTGGCCCTCCAGGGTGTCCCCAGCCACCAGGAGACCTGAGTTGGTATTAGAACCTGAGCCCCTACATTCCACTCCCATACTCCTTCCAAGAGGGGCCCAGCATTGTCTCTCCCTGTGACCCCTTTCTGTCCTGGCCAGAACTGGAGCCAGCTGTGAGACATTGCTGCGGGACAGTAAGCCCTCAGCTGGGCAAACATGAAGCTCTGGCCTCCTTTCCTCAGCCCCTTGTCCTTCCCTGTCCTCCAGCCCTGGACCCCAGCCACCTGCTGGAGCCCAGAGGTCACCTTCTCCCTGCATCCTGAGTCATGCTCAGTCAGAAGCCTGTGTTGGAATGTCCCTCGTTTACAGGGCGCTGGCCCACCTCCTGAGGACCTCGGCCACAGATGAGATCACATGCATGCATGCACACGCACACACACACCCCTGCACAGCATGCAGATGAGATCACATGCATGCATACACACACACACACACACACATGCACACAGTTGAGTGTTGGTTGCTAGAGCATCTGGTTGGCTGCTATGTGCCTGGTTTCCTCACATCCTGCCTCAGCCTCACCACCCTGGCTTATGGGGAACACATATCAGGGGGGCAGGAAAAGGGGTGGAACACACTGAGTGAACCCAGATTCTGGATTCTTGGTGTCCACAGCCTAGCTGATAGGAGATAGCCCACAGGACACCTGGTTTAGGTAGAAGAAGCCTCCTCAAAGGCAGTGCTGGGCACCCACAGGTGTGCCGGATACTGGAGTTTGAGTTGAGGGAGGTGCAGGGGCCAAAGGAGACACTGGAAAACTGGTCGGTGGGACAGGTAAGTGGCAGAGGTGAGGGGATAGGTTAGAATTTAAAAGGGCAGTAGTTAGGGGTGAGGGGAAGGAAATAGGGCACTGTAGGAGGTAGAGTAGGACCAAGTCATGAGGCAGTTGAAGAGTTGAGGAAGGAGTCTTTGGGCCCTACTGCTCCCCTCTAATCCAGGTAAGTCAGGACAGCTTTACCACAGCTCCAGGCCACGACAGCCCCTTCACCTGTGCTGCTGGGCCGTAGGCAGAGGCTTACAAAGAAGTGGGTTCCGAAGGGTGCCCAGCTGCGGGGCATCAGCCCGAGTGCATCTGAGCTGCTCCAAAACTGGCCCTCCCCCACTCCTCTACCACCGCGTGGCCCCGGAACTGCCGCAGCTGGCGGCGGGCCCGTACCCGCTGCGCCCCCACCTCGCACACTAGTCGCAGCCCACCGCAGGTGGGACTCAGGTTCGCTCTCTGGGCCAGGTCCTCCTCGAGGAGGGAGCTACCCTCAGCCTGAGGTTTGTGAGAACGTGGCCGCCCTTTTCCTGCCCTCTGACCCTTGTGGGTGGGTGGGGAGGCCTCGTGGCCCGGCCGGCACCCCGTCCCTTTCTGCATGTCTGAGGCCACCGGCAACAGCCGCCCCACTCCAGAGTCGCCCCTGCCCAGTTTTAAAAACCCCTTATTTATAACTTTTCTACTTTGTCCCAGTCGCGGCGCTTCCCGCCTCCTACCCGGCTGCACCGGGCGGCGGCTGTTTTTAACGTTCCCGTTTGTACTGATGTATGAACTTGTCAATAAACACAATCGTTTGTTAACCGTGGGATGCTGGCCGTGGGGCAGGCGGAAGCCGGCGCAGCTGCTCGCTCCACCGCTTCGGTGGCAGAACCGGGTGTGCGCCTCGGGGAGGGCGGGGCGGAGGCCTCGGGGAGGGCGGGGCGGAGGCCTCGGGGAGGGCGGGGCGGAGGCCTCGGGGAGGGCGGGGCGGAGGCCTCGGGGAGGGCGGGGCGGAGGCCTCGGGGAGGGCGGGGCGGAGGCCTCGGGTGTGGCCTGCGGCGAGGACGTCAGGGAGAGGCGGTGTTTCGCGCCGGCGCCGGCCCCGGCGCAGCCATGGTGGACGCGGCTTTGGAAGCCGTGCGGAAGGAGTTACGAGAATTCCCGGCCGCTGCAAGGGGTGAGTAGGCTCTCCCAGAAGCTGCGGTGACCTCCGAACACGGGAGGGGCCCTGAGAAGCCGCTGACTGGGGTCTCGGAACCTCTTGTGTGCGACTGGCCTAAGGCCCCGCCAGGTTGCTCTTGTGTTGCAAACCGCTTCCCACCTCCCGTGTTCGTGCACTCTCGTGGCTTCGGGTGACTCTGTTCACGTTATTCCCAAGGCCCCGTGCCGCCTTGACCATGGTCGTGTCCAAGTCCTTTGTTTCCCACAGTCTTGGGCAGTTTGCTGTTACCCATTTTGAAAGCTCATCAAAGGCACACGTGGTGGTCGGATTCCTCCCCCACGTGCCCCACCTCCGCCCCCAAGTCCCCTGTCACACTTTGGGAGGATTGCAGGCTGACAAATGGTTCTTGGCTCTTCCCCCGCTTCCTTTTATTTTTTCTTCCTCTCTTCCCTCCTTTTTTCTTTAAGTGATTTCTTAGCACAGAACAGCAACACAGGCACGTGTGTGTAATGGGTACGTAATATATAATGGTATGCAATGTAAACGAGGCAAGGTTTCCTCCCGGCCCCAGTTTGCATTCGTCCAGAAAGACTGTTTATATCCTTGCATACACGACTTTTTACTCTCCTTTTTATACAGTAGTAGCCTGCTAATCACACTCTACTTCACCATGTATTTTGGAGATCATTTAACGTTTTTCTACCTCAGTCTTTTTCACATCTTTGTGCTAGTGCTGTATTCACTTAGTCATTTAGGTCATTTCTAATCTGTTGTTTTCAATAATGCTGCAAGAAATACATTTGAGTATCAATTTAACAAATGCTTACTCAATATCTGTGGGGCAGGGTCTGTTCACTGTGTTTGAGATAAATCATTGAACAAAACAAATCTCTGTTTTCGAGATAAATCATTGAACAAAACAAATCTCTGTTTTCGTATGTTAAATTCTAAGTGAGAAGGTGGACAATTAACCACAGGTGTACTGAGTACATTTACAGTGTAAGGTGTTTAGAAGGTAAGTGCAGGCAAAGCCCTCAGTGGGAGTGTACCTGGTGTGTTCAGGAAACAAGAAGCCAGTCTGCAGGAGCAGGGTCTTTGTGTACATGTGTGAGTATTTTGGTTGGTTAAATTGTCTATATATTTTTATTTATTTATTTCGAGACAGGGTCTTGCTCTGTCACCCAGGCTGGAGTGCAGTGGCATGGTCATAGCTCTCTGCACCTCCACTTTCGAGGTTCGGGAGATCCTCCTGCTTCAGCCCCTGGGAGTAGCTGCGACTACAGGCATGCACTACCGTGCCTGGCTCATGTTTTTGAATTTTAGTAGAGACAAGGCTGGCCTTCATCTCCTGGGTTTAAGCAATTCTTGGCACCTCGGCGTTCCAAAGTGTTGGGATTATAGGCATAGCCATTGCTCCATTCCTTGTTTGTTAAGTTCTTAACAGAGTTATGGGATCAAAGGAATTGTTGGGATCCCTTTTGAAATTTTCTCACTTTGAAGCCCCAGGAGAGAAAAGCAACTATTCTCTAAAGGAAATGGTGAGCAAGTAAAACAGAAATTCCTAATTGCAGAAATCCAAAGGGTGAGAAAAAGACAGTTTCCATGTATTTTCAGAATCCCAGGCTATGTGCAGTGCGCACACCTGTAATCCTAGCACTATGAGAATATCTCTTGAGGCCTGAAGTTCACGACCAGCCTGGGCAACATAATGAGACACCATCACTAAAAAAAATTTTTTTAATTGGTGTGGTGGCATGTCCCTGTAGTCCCACCTATTCAGGAGGCTGAGGCAAGAGGATTGCTTGAGTCCAGTAGTTTTGATGGCAGCGGTGGCCAGTCTGGGACAGATGCTGTCATCACGCTGGCTGCAGCGGAGAGGCACAAGTGGGGCAGCAGAAGCGGGTGTGGTAGCAACAGTGGCAGTAGTGGGTCCCCTGTGCCCTGCATCCCTGAGGCAGCTGACTGCACCACCCTCACCCTCACATGGCCGGGCAGGACCTGCTCCCAAGCCCAGAGCCTCTGCTGCAGCCTCAACCTTGCTCCCTGTCGCATCCCAGAAGCCTGCGAGTGAGCACTTAGCCAACGGTGCAGCTGGGACTTCTGGGCCAGCCCCAGGAGCATCAGGTTCATTTGTGTGAGGTTGGCCGGTGTTGCCGAGCAACTTGGACCTTGCCGGAGCTGCGGGCCCCGCCCCCCTCCGCAGGGGGAAAAATGCAAAAAGGAGGTGCAGCTGTGACTGCATGCTCCACAGAGCTAGCGGGAGCTGGGGACAAGCGGGAACCCCGCCCCTTCCAAGTTGGTGGAGTGGGAGCTCCCTAGGCATAATTGCAGCCATCCAAGCCAGGGCTGCAAGGCAGGCACACCTGTGCTCTTGGGAGGCGGGAGCCCCACCCTCCCAGACGCAGCTGCAGCCTCCCAAGGTGCAGTTGTGGACCCAGGCATCTCTGCAGTCTTGGGGGCCCGTGAGGCCCCTTCCTGCTGCTGCAGGCTGAGAAGTGCCTGGTCCTGCTGCCTGGCTTCTCTCCACTGTCAGCACTTGATGAGATCACGAAGCAAAGTTGAGGCCAAGCCTGGGTGCTGTTGCAACCTGGCCGTGTGTAAATGCTCAGGGCAGCGCTGACACACCAGCCCCCTGCCACCTTGGCCCCCTTCGGACTTTGGACACCAATGAGCATGGGAGGGAGGCCAGGAGGGGCTGAGGGCAGCTCGATGCTGGCCTGCAGGCATCCCTTGGCACAAACAGCCTGGGTGCCATGAATGGTGGCAAGAGACAGGTCCTGGGTAGAAGGGGCCCGGTCCTGGGTGCAGCCCCACCTTCAAGCCAGGGAAGGCCTGAAGCCTAGGGGCTGGGCTACCAGTCCCACCCACTGGAATGGGAACTTGTGCTTTTTCCAGCTGGCCCATGGCTGCCCATGGACCAATCAGCATGTACTTCCTCCCCTCTGAGACCCATAAAAAGCCCAGACTCAGCCAGACCAGAAAAGACTGCGTGATGACCAGCTGCAGGGAGGAACTACCCAGTCTGCTTAGAGCTGGAGAGATGACAGAACAACCTGCCTGAAGAGAGGAGGTACCCTAGCCAGAGAAACAAGCAGGCATGCCAGCTCTTTCTTGGATTCCTGGGACCACTGGGGTCTTCTCAGTTCCAATTTTTGGTTTAAGAACATTCACTTTCCAACAAATCACAAAGTATAGGGGACTGGCATGGTGTGGCCATGAGAGATGGAGCCTAACCTCCGAGGTGAACATCAGTGCCGGGACCGTTTGAAGCAGGGTTTGGTAACTACCAAATGGAGACCAGGGCCTTTTGGCTTGACCGAGAGCACGAGTGCAGCAAAGCGAAGCCCTGTATACTTTATAAACACCAGCAGAAAGACATTCCAGTCTGAATGAGCAGCTGGAACAAAGTCATGCACCATCTGAATAGAGGGTGTGTGGCAAGGGCAGGCACGAGACAGCAGGTTAGAAGAGTAGGTCGGGCCTGATCATGCATGCCAAGGCAGGCTGCATTCTCTAAGGAGCATCGGTAAGCCATGCAGGAGTGCGTTACTAGAGGTACGACAAGATGAGATTGTATTTTCAGAAGATGACTGGGGCTGTGATGATTTACATGATTAACTCTTTGAGAGGGAGTAGTAGTAAGCCGGAGAAACCAGCCAGTTCACTGCTGCAACCGTCAGCCAGGATGCTGGAGACTTTTTTTTTTTTTTTTTTTTTTTTTGGAGACAGAGTCTTGCTCTGTTGCCAGGCGCCAGGCTGGAGTGCAGTGGCGCAATCTCAGCTCACTGCAACCTCCGCCTCCTGGGTTCAAGCAATTTTCCTGCCTCAGCCTCCCAAGTAACTGGGACTATAGGCGTGCGCCACCACGCTCAGCTGATTTTTGTATTTTTTTAGTAGAGACGGGGTTTCACCATGTTGGCCAGGATGGTCTTGATCTCTTGACCTTGTGATCTGCCTGCCTCGGCCTCCCAAAGTGCTGGGATTACAGGCTTGAGACACCACGCCCGGCTGATGATGGAGACTTTTATTCAACACTAAGCACATCTTTGCCGAGTATCTGCTGTGTGCTCAGTACTGTTCTAGGTCCCAGGGGTGCATCACTGAACAAGACGAGTATCTTTGCCCTTGTGGAGCTTACATTCTAGGAAGGGTGTTAGAATGATAAACAGCTAATGTAAGTGAAATATATGTTATTTTGAGATAAGGTCTTGCTTTGTCATACCGGCAGGAGTGCAGTGGCATGATGATAGCTCAGTGCAGCCTCCAGCTCTTGGAGTCAAGAGATCCTCCTGCTTCAGCCTCTAGCATAGCTGGGAGTATCGGTGCATGCCACCATGTCCAGCTGATTTTTAGATTTTTTGTTGAGATGGGCCTCACTATGTCGCCAAGGCTGGTCTTGAACTCCCAGCCTCAGCAGTCCTCCTGCCTCTGCCTCCCAAAGTGCTGGGATTATAGACATGAGCCGCCGTGCCCAGCCCTAAAATATATAGCATGTTAGATGGTGATGAATGCTAAGAAGAAAAATAAAATAGGCAAAGGGGTATAAAGATTGGGGGGGCAGGTTATAAATTTAGAAAGTATAGTTAGAGAAGGAAGCCTTATCAATGTGACATTTGAGTGACGACCCAAAGGAGGTAGCTGGAATGTGGATGCCACTGGAGGAGAGAAGCAGCAGGTGGGTTTGAGAGACATAGGAGACAGTCAACAGGACTTAGAGCCAACCAGCAGGGTGACAGGAGCGAAGGAGAAAGCGGAGTCAAAAAGAGGAGGTTTTATTAGAGGTGATGCGGGGCCACTGTAGACCCCTGCGGGGTGGTGGCACACTGCACAACCTGCTGAAGTGCACGTGGTGGCCCTGGGGGTCTGGAGATGGTGATGCAGTTCAGTGGGACCCAAACCACAGCCAAGCCCTTCCATTTCTCCATTGGTGTTGGCTGGTAGTTAGTCTTCCCGGTGAGAAGGTTGTGAATTTCCTAAACTGATGATTGTGTCATCCCTGATAGCCCCAGACAGGCCAAGCCAAGTGCTGAGCACGTTCTAGGTGCTCAGTGAATAATCACTGTGGAAGTGGGTTTTCCAGAGCCATACCCCACCCAGACCAACCCGTGGCCTAGGGTCCTCAGCCTTACTCATTCTAGAGCTCCTGACTCCACCATGTTCCTGGTAGGTGCTAGGAGGCTGGCCTCTCCAGGGTGGGAAGGTGGGGGGGTCCATTGTGTAGGCGCAGATACAGCCCCACGGGGGATTTGGGTTATGGGCTGGGCAGTAGTCCCTGGCCCTTTGGCTGGTCAGGGCCCGTGCTGGTGTGCATGCATGGTGCTTTCTGCCTTCATTTTTCCTCCTCATCTATTCCTGGTTGTCCAGGGTCCTTTGGTCAGCAGTGGGCATTTCCCAGTGACACAGCATAGCCTTTCCAGGGAAGGCATCTCTTGGGCAGGGACAGGGTGCTGCTGATTTCAGCCCCTCCATCCCCTGTCCTCCTCTTTCTCTCAGAGCTCAGTGTGCCTCTTGCTGTGCCCTACCTGGACAAGCCCCCAACTCCGCTCTGCTTCTACCGGGACTGGGTCTGCCCCAACAGGCCGTGCATCATCCGCAACGCTCTGCAGCACTGGCCGGCCCTGCAGAAGTGGTCCCTCCCCTATTTCAGGTGGGAGCTGCCCTGGGGTGGGACGTGAGCAGTGATTACTGGCATCAGAGCATGAGCTGAGTGTCCCTTCCTGTAGAGCCACAGTGGGCTCCACGGAGGTCAGTGTGGCTGTCACCCCAGACGGTTACGCGGATGCTGTGAGAGGGGACCGCTTCGTGATGCCAGCTGAACGCCGCCTGCCCCTGAGCTTTGTGGTGGATGTGCTGGAGGACCGTGCCCAGCACCCGGGAGTCCTTTATGTGCAGAAGCAGTGCTCCAATCTGCCCACCGAGCTGGCCCAGCTGCTGCCTGATCTGGAATCCCATGTGCCCTGGGCCTCCGAAGCCCTGGGTGAGTGGAGGCAGGGTGGTCGCTTAGGTGATGACTTGGCCCACAGGCTTGGTCCTGTCAGCGCCAGGTGCAGCTCACTAAATACTCACATTCCCAGGCCTGACTTAATCATAGATGAACTACTGAAGATTGTTGTCCTTTCTTCTGTCCCCGGGGGTGGGAAGGCCCCTTTCCCAAGCTTTCCCAACCTCTGCTGCTTCTTCCTGACCCTCTTTCTTGGGATTCTTCTGTGCTCACCCAGGTTTTGGTTTTAGCATCACTGGATGGCAGCTTTCCCCAGCCTGGCCTTCCTAACTTGCTGTCTGCCTCTGTCCCGCAGGAAAGATGCCCGACGCTGTGAACTTCTGGCTGGGGGAGGCAGCTGCGGTGACTTCTTGTAGGTGTAAGGGGAATACAAAGGCGAGGAAGGAGCAGGTGTGGGCAGAGGGAGGGAAGACGAGGCCAGGAATGGAGGGTTGGGCCTGGGCGGAGGTTGGGTTGTCTCTAAGATTTCTTTTGGCTTCTAGGACTCAGGCACCACAGAGGGTTTCCCCTGACAGCTGAGGTGGGGGAATGGACCCATGGCATTGGGGGTGGGTGTACTGTTTATTCTAGACCCAAAGAAAGCTCCCTGAAGGCCAGCTGGGTCAGGGGTGAGTATAGGAGAACTTGCCCTCTTGGTGGAGAGGAGTCCAGGGCCTGGCGAGCATCAAGTCCCAGATGGGTGGAATTCCGGAATACGGGAGCCCTGGCATCTTGTCCAGCCCACTGATTCTGGGTGCCCTTCTCTTTTGTCATAGGCCATCTTGGGGTACAGGGCTCTGAGCCCCCTGGGCCTTCTTTCTGTTGGCAGTGCACAAGGACCACTATGAGAACCTCTACTGTGTGGTCTCAGGAGAGAAGTATTTCCTGTTACATCCGCCCACTGACCGGCCCTTCATCCCCTATGGTAGGGGGTGTGGCGTGTAGGGTTGGGGGACCACTGGCCCAAGAGGGAGGGAGGCAGTGAGAGCCTAGGAGGCCAGTTCCCAGGCCCGAGTTGTGCCTGTGGCATCCCCACTGCACCGGTGCCCCTGATCCCCCCGCTTCTGCCCAGGGCTGGCTGGGGTGGAGGAGAGTCTGGCAAGTTCCAGGCTGTTTGCATTTCCCCCACACCCTTCTCCCTTGGGCTCTAGAGCTGTACACGCCGGCAACGTACCAGCTGACTGAAGAGGGCACCTTTAAGGTGGTAGATGAAGAAGCCATGGAGAAGGTGCCTGTCCTGTTTTTGGGCTCAAGGGAGGAGAAGGGCAGAAGCCTGGCCCTGAGGAGCAGGCATGAAAGATCTGGGGAGGTGGCACCTTGATCTGAAAAGTCCCTAAGTCTGAGGCCGTTCAGTGCTGAGCCGAGCAGGGTCTGTGGTGTTGACCTTTGGAAGGGACACAGCCTGAAGTCTGGGAGGCCTGGGGGGGCTGCTCCCTGGCATCTCGTGTGTTCCAGGTCCCCTGGATCCCACTGGACCCCTTGGCGCCAGACCTAGCCCGGTACCCGAGTTACAGTCAGGCCCAGGCCCTTCGCTGCACGGTGCGGGCCGGTGAGATGCTCTACCTGCCGGCTCTGTGGTTCCACCACGTCCAGCAGTCGCATGGCTGCATCGCAGGTGAGGGGCAGGTTCTGCCAAGGTCCATCAGGGCCTCTAGGGGGAGGTTTGGGAGGCTCCAGGTCAGAAGAGGGACCTTCATGCTCATTCTCCCCACAGTGAATTTCTGGTATGACATGGAATACGACTTCAAGTATAGTTACTTCCAGCTCCTCGACTCCCTCACCAAGGCTTCAGGCCTCAACTGATGGAGCCCTGGTGAACTCAGCCAAGCACGCCTCAGGGGAAGGGGCCTGTCCCTCCCAGCCGGGTCAATTCTTGAGACAGCCTAGAGCGTGCATGCTGGCTGCTGGCCCAGGGTGCAGCGTGGCTTGGGGTCAACTTTGGCGGATCTTGGAATGCGGTCAGGAGGACCTGAGGTGCCAGGCAGGTCTGGGTGAGGGCTCTCGGGACTTTGCCACATAGGCAGTGGGTAGTGGAGCAGGGCTTAGGTGTAGCGGCACCTCCACCTGTGCTGTGTGATGTTGGGCAAGTCACTGCGTCTCAGGGCAGTGGTGTCCTTCAGTAAACTGATAACAGTGGCTCTGCCTCTCAGGGCTGTTGTGGGCTTGGAGATGATGTCTGTGAGGACCAGCATGGGGCTGGCACACAGCACTTGTTGAATAAAAGGTAGCTGTGAGTCCGATGTTCTGATCTTCCCTCTTGAAGTTGCCTTCTGTGGTTGAGGAAGGGCCTGAAGGTTCAGGTAAAAACTTCAGAGTGATCTTCACTGCGGGTGAGGGCTGGATCCTGGCCTGGGCCTGAAGAGCCATCAGCTGTCCAAAGCCTGCTGTCCACAACAGCCACCGCAGCCCCTCCCTTGGATAAGCAAGCAGACCTTAGTCCTGTGGCTCTCTGGCCCAGGGCTTCAAGAGCTATTCCTAGCTTTGCTCGGGTTTACTGTCCTCCCCACATTCAGGGGCAGCAGGTGGGACCTGGCGCCCTGGGGATAACCCCTGTTTTTCCCATAATAGGCACAGGCAGGATGGGGACAGAAACTCCCGCCTCTCCTGAGACTGCCCCTCTGAGGAAGGAGTTGGTGTCCACACTCTGACCCTCCCACAAACCATACCCTGGAGACAGAACTCCCGCCCAGGTGCCAACCCACAGGCCTCATCCCCAGCCATGCAGCACCCAGCTCCAGGGTGGAAGCTGCCCAGCGCCCGACTTTGAAGGGCTGTTTGATGTGACAGCCACTCCCCTGCCTGTCGTAAGGGTGCCCGGGTGCTCATCTCAGATCGGCGGAGCCCTGCAGTCAAGACTGGGCATTCCTGTCCAGCAGGCACCAGAGTTGCGAAAGGCCTGTGCCAGGACACTCCACTCTTTTCCTGGCTGCTGTTCTGGGGCTCACTCCTGATTTTCTTCTGCTTAGCTCCTGGCAGCAAGCTCTGTGGAGAGCAGCCCTCCCCTACAGCAGGGCTGGGATTACAGAGCTGGGCGTTCAGGGCAGGGTTGGGCAGGCCCAGGTGGTGATGGTTGGCAAGTGCCACACAGGTGTCAGAAGCTCGAGTACAGATTTAGGGTGCCTTACTTCCTGGACAGGTGACAGATCAGGAGTGGGTGTAGAGCTTGGGTGGAGCAGAGGCGGGGGGTGGGAGGGACTTGGGACCAGTTGGGACATCACATCCCTGGCTCTGGGTTAGAAAGCCGACAGTCCTTGATCCTGTGGCTGCTACCGCATCATTCCTGCTTCTGAGGACTCAGTCTCATGGCTCTGGTAAGGCCTGCAGGGCACTGGGCTCTTACTCTGACCCCTGGTCTCTCCCTGGGGCCTGGTTAATGTGTTTCTTATGGGAGCTATGGTCTTCAGGTGTAGGGAGGGGAGTTTGTTGGCCACAAGACCAGAGCAGTGGACAGAAGCTGGGAGGAGGCAGCCTGGGGATGATGGATCCATCTTGAGTTTTCTCTGCTGTGGGAACGGCCTCCCAGCAGAGGTCCGTGGCACCATGGATTTGGGCCCTGGAAACTCAGAGGCTCCCACCTGCCATCCTGAGGCCCTGGAAGGAAGTGGCTGCTCTGTGCTCCTCTGACTCAGTTGCCTGGAATGTGGGGGGCCCTGGGCTGACCCTGCTAGATGAGGCTCTCTAGCACTGCCCCAGACCTGGTTGCTCCCTGGGCTTGACCCATTAGGGCCCTTGTGGAGGCAGGCAGAAGGCGGAGAGGAAGAGTTGGCACAGGCTTCCCTGGTCCTGGCCCACCTGCCAGGCTGCATTCCCAAAACCAGGGGGATGGGTTGGGAGGGAGCTACCGGGGTAACATCTGCAGCCTGACCTGGCAGGACCTGGAGGGTGTGACAGCCTGTACAGGGTCTGAGCTAGAAGCCACTGCCCCTGCCCAGGAGAGAGCCCTCGAGTTTCCAGGGTTCACTTCTGAGTGGGGTGGAGGGAGGGTAAGAGCAGCTCTGCTGGGGGCCCAAAGCCCTGACATTCCACTTCCCCTCCCTCCATAGTTTATGTCCCCTGCCACCCAAGACCGGCCTGGAAACTGCTTAGCTGGGTTATAGGCTGGGGATGTGGGGTGGAGAGCCTAAAGGGAACTGCCTGAGGAAGTGGAAGCAGGTCTGGGTAGGGCATAATCTGGAGTTTGCCTGCCTGGGCTCCAATCCCTATTCGGGACGTCAGGCAAGTGACTGCTTCCCCGTGCTTCAGTTCCCTTGTGGAGTGGGTCATCATAATAGTACCAGCGCATAGGGTGGTTGTGTAATGGATGAGTTAATGTATGCAAAGCCCTTGGCCCAGAGCCGGTGCAGAGCACTGTGTAAGTGCTGGCAGGCATCATGATGGAGATGTCATGTCTCTTCTTGTCGATTGAGGAGTCTGATGGCGTGGAGGACAGGCCTGGGGTTCAGGATTAGGCCTTGAAGGACTGCCCCAGCCTCCCTTGCAGTCCTGCCACCCTTGGCTTCATCAGCCTGTAGCCAGTCTCCCCTCTCCTGCCTCTGCAGGCAGAGGTGTCCAGGACCTGCCTGCTCACGGTTCATGTCCTGCAGGCCCATCGCCTGCCCTCGAAGGACCTAAGTGAGTGTACACCTGAGGAGGAGGGTGCTGTGGCTGGATCTGGGGGTGGTGGAGAGGTGGTGGGCAGGGCCTAGAAGAGGGGCCTGAGAGGAGCTTCTGGGTGGAAGGTGGTAGCTGGGGCTCTGCCTCTGCTCCCCCTTCCCCTCCTCCTCAGTCCTACCCCACATGGGGCTCTAGGTGATGGAAGGAAGGGGTCTGGGCAGCTGGCTGGGAAGGGCTCTTGGCCACCAGTGGACACTTGTTCCTCCTTCCCGCAGTGACCCCCTCTGATTGCTACGTGACTCTCTGGCTGCCCACAGCCTGCAGCCACAGGCTGCAGACACGCACAGTCAAGAACAGCAGCAGCCCCATCTGGAACCAGAGCTTTCACTTCCGGATCCACCGGCAGCTCAAGGTGGGCCCGTTGTCAGCGCCGGCTCTACCCACATCCCCACCAGCCGTTGCCGCTGCCCTGCTCACCTTCCCATCCCCTCCCTCCAGCAGCCCTGTCACTCTGTTCCCTTTCCAGAATGTCGTGGAACTGAAAGTCTTTGACCAGGACCTGGTGACTGGAGATGACCCTATACTGTCAGTGCTGTTTGATGCAGGGACTCTGCGGGCTGGGGAGTTCCGGTGCGAGAGCTTCTCACTGAGCCCTCAGGCAAGGCAGAAGGTTGAAATCTCCACGCGCCCTTGCACACACCCATGTGTCTCCCACTCTCTCACATACACGCATTTCTTCTGACCCTGTCTGACTTGGTTCTGGTTCTCTTCTCAGGGCGAGGGGCGCCTAGAAGTTGAATTTCGCTTGCAGAGCCTGTGAGTTGGGGACCTGGGGCAGTTTGGGTGGGAGTGCCTCGTGGGAAAGGCAGCGCCGGTGCCTAGGGTACGCCCAGGCCTCTGGGGTGAGAACCTGGACTCCTGTTAAGGGAGGTCTGGGGGCTTTTTCCAGGGCTGACTGTGCCGAGCAGCTTGTCAGCAATGGCATCCTGGTGGTGAGTATGACTGGTGCTCTCGGAGGTGGTCTGGGGTCCCAAGAATCGTTCATGCCAGTGGCTCGAGTTTATGCCTGGGCCTGAAGCTCAGGCGTCACCACTGCCTGAGTCTGGGGACCTGGGATTTCAGTTCGTTAAGGGAGTACAATTTCAAGCAAATGCTTGGTGACTTGGCCCAGGTAATGAAGTGCAGACCAGCAGGAGCCAGGGTCCCAGGCGGGTTGGGGTCCCTGAATGGGGGTGGTGTTAGTATCTGAGAGGTTGTCTTCATACCTCAGGCCCGGGAGCTCTCCTGCTTGCACGTTCAACTGGAGGAGACAGGAGACCAGAAGCGTGAGTCCCCAGCCCACTGGGACAGTGTCCGGCTCTGAGCCCTTGTTTTTCTCCTTTAAGGGTTGGCCAATTCAATGTGGGACTCACTGGGGCTTGAGCTTCCCCTTAGGCCTTCTCAGGGGGACTGTGGTGGGGGCTCCATCTTCCAGCCCTGGCCTGGCCAGACCATTTCAGCAGGGAGAGGGAGGTGCCCTCCAGGCCTCCCAGCAAGATGGGCTCTGTGGACAGAGACACCGTTCCCAGCCTCTCTGCACTGGTCCCTGTTTCCAGGCTCAGAGCGCAGAGTTCAGCTTGTGGTTCCTGGGTCCTTTGAGGGTCTGCAGGAGGCCTCTGTGGGCACTGGCAGCTTCCACTTCCACTGCCCAGCCTGCTGGGAGCAGGAGCTGAGGCTTCACCTGCAGGTAGATGTGGGGCCCCCAGAACTTCCTCCTTCCCTCACCTCCTCCCAGCCTGACTTCTGCCCCATGTGGCAGAGTAGGCACCCTGGAAGCGCGTGTGGGCCGATGCTGGCCTTCCTTTCCCATCCTTCCCACTCCTCTGTGGCTGCCAGCGGGAGTTGGTGAGGTCCTTGCTAGGAGCAGAAGCATAAAGATTCTTAGATCTCTGTCCTTTGTCCCCTGCAGGATGCTCCCGAGGAGCAGCTGAAGGTGCCACTGAGTGCCCTGCCCTCTGGCCAACTGGTGAGGCTTCTCTTCCCCACATCCCAGGTACTGGCCTCCCAGAGGAGGAAGCAGGGCACCTGGGCTGGGCCCCAGGCCACGAAGGGATGGGCCTGTTTCTCGCTTCTCTCCACAGGTCATGCCCTGAGCAGGTGCTGGGGCCAGGCTCTTGGGGGAGTGTCCTCTGAGCACCCCTGCTTCAGGCCTGGCCTGCGGCGAGGGTTGGGGCAGTGCACATGGGGTCAGGGTAAGAGAATCAGAGTTGGGTGGAGGTGGCTGACCTTTGTGACTGGGGCCTTCATGGTTTTCAGGAGCCTCTGATGAGAGTGGAACTGAAAAAAGAAGAAGGGTGAGTGGCGTGGCTGGGGACTGGGCAAGGCTCTGGGGGGCGGGGCTGGGGCAGGCCTGGAGGATTGAGGGGGAGAAACAGCCGACCCTCATCCTCGTGCTCTCTGAAGGGGCTCAGGCCAGTGCTCGGTGGGGGGCACAAAGTACCAGGAGGAGCCTATGGTCGGAGGGGTGAGTGATCAGCCCAGTGCCAGGCACCCAGGGAGTGCTTGATAAATGTTTGGCTGGAAAATGCGGGGAGATGAGGATGGAAAATGGTAACATGGCTGGAGGCACAGAGAGAGCAGGAAAAGCAAGGGAGAAAAGAGGGGAAATTGTGGCCTTTTGGGTGGAAGGTGTTATGCCTGGACCTTAAATGATCTTCATGGAGTCGCCGCCCACCCTGGCCCTCCATCTTGGGAGAGTGGCTTCCCACCTTGCAGAGATGGGATTGTTGGTCCTTCTTTTCTCCCCCTCCCCTGTATTTTTTTTTTTGAGACAGAGTCTCTATTACCCAGGATGGAGTGCAGTGGCATGATCTTGTCTTACTGCAGCCTCTGCCTCCCTCCCGGGTTCAAGCAGTTTTCCTGTCTCAGCTGGGACTACAGGCATGCGCCACCATGGCTAATTTTTATATTTTTAGTAGAGATAAGGATCCCCCATGTTGGCTAGGCTGGTCTTGAACTCCTGCCCTCAAGTTATATGCCTGCCTTAGTTTCCCAAAGTGCTGCACCTGGCCTCCACTCTCTTTGTAGTCATTTTTTTTTTTTTTGAGTCAGAGTCTCACACTATATCCCAGGCTAGAGTGCAACGGCGTGATCTTGGCTCACTGCAACCTCTGACTCCTGGGTTCAATCGATTCTCCTGGGTCAGCCTCCTGAGTAGCTGGGATTATAGGCGCCCCCGCACACCACCATGGCTTGCTAATTTTTTTGTATTTTTAGTAGAGATGGGGTTTCACTGTGTTGGCGAGGCTGGTCTTGAACACCTGACCTCGTGATCTGCCAGCCTCTGCCTCTCAAAGTGCTGGGATTACAGGCATGAGACACTGTGCCTGGCCTGTCGTCATTTTTGAGCTCCATGGGTGAGGGACAGAACCCCAAACTTGGAGGGGGAATCCACTGTATGGGTCCTGTGTGAGGGCCTGTCTGCCCTGGGGACCCCAAGCAGGCTCTTTCGGCCGTGGCATTCCATGTCCTGCCGGTCTGTTTTGCTGCATTCCAAAGTGTGTCCACATGTGGACATACTCTCCCCAGGTGTCATACTTGAGTCTTGTGACACAGGAGTGTTAGGGAGAGGAGAGAAGGCAGTGGACGTTGCAGTGAGGCCGACCTAGCTTCCTAGTCTCTGGGGAAGGCTGCGCGCTGTCTCAGGGTCTCTTCCTTCCCCCACAGACCGAAGGAGCTGGCTGTGCGACTGGGCTTTGTGCCCTGTGCAGAAGAGCAGGCCTTCCTGAGCATGAGGAAGCAGGTGGTGGCCGCAGCCCTGAAGCAGGCCCTGCAGCTGGACGGAGACCTGCAGGAGGATGAGGTTTAGGGGTTGGGCTGGGTGGGGTGTCCCCTGGGCTTGCTTGGGCCTGGCACCTGGTGCTTAACCCTGGAGCTGCCTGTCCCTGCCCTGCTTCCGCTCGTCTGGCATTAGCAGGGACTTGGTACAGACAGTGGTGCTTGCGGTGCCTAGAGCTCGCACAGGAGCTGCCTTGTAGGGCTGGCTTTCCTGCCTTTTCTTGGTTGTCATCCTAGCCCAGGCTTTAAGAATGGTTCTGTTCTGAGGAGTGAGACAAATAATGGGTATGAGGCCTGCTGGCCCAGGTGGTTCAGGAGGTTCATATTAGCCTGAGCCCTCTCCTGGGGGAGTGACGGCAATTTGGGAGAATTTTGAGGTGGCCCCTGGGACTTCCAGAAAGTGAGCATCAGACTCGGGGTAAGGAGATGAGGCTCAGAACTTGCCTGGGCCATTATTCCTGGAGCCGTTAGAACTGGATGCTCACGAGGCTGTTTCTGATCCCATTGTTGGGATGGTTGACCCAGAACTGGTCCCAAGACATGATCAGGTCTTAGCTGTGGGGTGAGATGGGGGCCATGTGACCTGCTACCTCCTCTTCCTATGGCTTGGCCTTCCCCATCCCTAGGGCCTCTCCAAGCCTGCCTGTCTTCTTTTCCAGATCCCAGTGGTAGCTGTTATGGCCACTGGTGGTGGGATCCGGGCAATGACTTCTCTGTATGGGCAGCTGGCCGCCCTGAAGGAGCTGGGCCTCTTGGATTGCGTCTCCTACATCACCGGGGCCTCAGGCTCCACCTGGTGAGCTGGGAGCAGGAGGATGCTGGAGTCTGTGTGGCAGTGGGTGCTGGGGACAGGGTCCTTCTAGGCCTGTGAGTAAACTAGAAGGGCTGGGAGAATGCTTGAGGGGACCCTGGGAGGGTCCCTGCTAGGCTGTTGTCATAGGAAGCCTGGGGCACATGAGGTCTAGATGGGGCCCTTTAATGACAGGCCTCTGGCTGCGGCTTTTCCCAGGGCCTTGGCCAACCTCTATGAGGACCCAGAGTGGTCTCAGAAGGACCTGGCACGGCCCACTGAGTTGCTGAAGACCCAGGTGACCAAGAGCAAGCTGGGAGTGCTGGCCCCTAGCCAGCTGCAGCGGTACCGGCAGGAGCTGGCGGAGCGTGCCCGCCTGGGCTACCCGAGCTGCTTCACCAACCTGTGGGCCCTCATCAACGAGGCGCTGTTGCACGATGAGGTGTGGGTCTGTGGCTTGGGGGCAGAGCCAGGGCACGGCGCTGGACAGCAGCATGGGAAAGGCCCCAGGCACCGAGGCAGCTAAGGGTTGAGGTTCCACTCATCTTTCCCCAGCCCCATGACTGCAAGCTTTCAGATCAGCGAGAGGCCTTGAGTCACGGCCAGAACCCTCTGCCCATCTACTGTGCCCTCAACACCAAGGGGCAGAGCCTGACCACTTTTGAATTTGGAGGTGAGTGGCCCAAGCGCTGAGACCTGTGCCCTCGTGGTTGGTGGAGCAAGGGGAGATGGGGCCTGTGTGCAGAAGTGGATGTCACATCCACCTCTCTTAGGCCAGGTCCCATGCTTTCTGGAGACTGGTACCCTACCAGGGTCCCTGAGGCATTTGGGAAGGAGGCAAGGGCCGTAGGTGCTATGCTCAAAGGCCAAGCCACAAGGCCTGGGCCTCCTGGTCCTCGGCAAAGCCCTGGGTTGGGGTGCGGGTGCCTGAGCACTCTGGACCATGAGGCTGAGGGGTGGCCTCTCCTCACAGAATGGTGTGAGTTTACCCCCTACGAGGTTGGCCTCCCCAAGTACGGGGCCTTCATCCCCTCTGAGCTCTTTGGCTCTGAGTTCTTCATGGGGCAGCTGATGAAGAGGCTCCCTGAGTCCCGCATCTGCTTCTTAGAAGGTGAGGGGTGTTGGGCAGGCTGGAGAAGCTGGGTGGTGCAGGGCAGATGAGCCCTGGGTGAGAGGGTGGCCTTCAGTCAGGAGTTTCCTGGACCAGGCCTGGCCGTGGGGAAGGGTGGGGTTGGGATGGGAGTGCGGAGCTCTCTTCCCTCACAGCCACTCCTTCAGGTATCTGGAGCAACCTGTATGCAGCCAACCTCCAGGACAGCTTATACTGGGCCTCAGAGCCCAGCCAGTTCTGGGACCGTTGGGCCAGGAACCAGGACAGCCTGGGTAGGTGCTCAGGTGATTTCATCAGGGTACCCAAGGGCAGCCAGCAGGGGCCGCATGAGGGGGCGGGGGGGCTCTCCCCTCCTCCCCTTCCAGGGTCACCATTCTCTTGCCTGTGTAGACAAGGAGCAGGTCCCCCTTCTGAAGGTAGAAGCACCACCCTCAACAGCCGGCAGGATAGCTGAGTTTTTTGCTGACCTCCTGACGCGGCGCCCGCTGGCCCAGGCCACACATAATTTCCTGCATGGCTTCCATTTCCACCAAGACTACTTTCAGCATCCTCACTTCTCCACCTGGAAAGGTACCTGCTTCTCTCCAAAGTCTTCCTGTGGCCATCTGAGCCTCGAGTCGTCAGTCCAGACACCCCTTACAGTCCATTCCCATCTTCGCCCTTTGAGCTCGATTCCCTAAACTACTTGGAGCAGGGGCTTTTTTTCTCCTTGTCTTCGGGACCCAGGGCCTACCTGCAAGGCTGTGGGGGTGTTGGTTCAGCAGTAGAGCAGAGTATTTTTTTTTTTTTTTTTTTAGACGGAGTTTCGCTCTTGTTACCCAGGCTGGAGTGCAATGGCGCGATCTCGGCTCACCGCAACCTCCGCCTCCTGGGTTCAGGCAATTCTCCTGCCTCAGCCTCCTGAGTAGCTGGGATTACAGGCACGTGCCACCATGCCCAGCTAATTTTTTGTATTTTTAGTAGAGACGGGGTTTCACCGTGTTGACCAGGATGGTCTTGATCTCTTGACCTCGTGATCCACCCGCCTCGGCTTCCCAAAGTGCTGGGATTACAGGCTTGAGCCACTGCGCCCGGCAAGCAGAGTATCTTGTACCAGCGGGAGTTTGGTGCCCTTGGCGTCTGTGACAATTGCTCCTCTCCCCAACCTTCCAGCCACCACTCTGGATGGGCTCCCCAACCAGCTGACACCCACGGAGCCCCACCTGTGCCTGCTGGATGTCGGCTACCTCATCAACACCAGCTGCCCGCCCCTCCTGCAGCCCACTCGCGATGTGGACCTCATCCTGTCATTGGACTACAACCTGCACGGAGCCTTCCAGGTTAGGGAGGTTGTGGGTGGCCCCAGACTCCACCCATCCTCTTGGCTCCTCCCCCATGGAGAACGGCTTTGGAGTCTAGTGTCTGGTCCAGCTTCCTTTAGGAGCTGTGACAGTAACTGCATGTGATTGATTGGGACACTGGAATCTGTTAATTTGCCACTAGAGGAGCTCATTCTGTTCTGGAAGCTGGTGAGGTTTTCCTGGTATCTTGGATCTGGCTCCCCCGTCCCTGACCTGCAAGGTGCCTCTGGGCCCACCTACAAGTCTGCTTTGCCTCCCAGTGTCAGAACTGGAGTGCTGGGGGCAACCTTGCTCAGTCTTGCCACTGAAGCCTGTCAGGTGTGGAGCATTTTCTCCAAAGCCTGGCATTGTAGGCCCCACTGGAGAGTAGGACGTGGCATTCGAGCCCCAGGTCCCGTGCGTCTCATGTTCAGTCAGCCCCAGCTTCAAGGACGCCAGGGGACCTGTTCCGCTGACAGCCCTTCTGCCTGCCCTGCAGCAGCTGCAGCTCCTGGACCGGTTCTGCCAGAAGCAGGGGATCCCGTTCCCGCCCATCACTCCCAGCCCAGAAGAGCAGCTGCGGCCTCGGGAGTGCCATGCCTTCTCCGACCCCACCAACCCCGGAGCCCCTGCTGTGCTTCACTTTCCTCTGGTCAGCGACTCCTTCCGGGAGTACTCAGCCCCTGGTGAGCCTCTATGCACCTCCCCCTCCTGCTGCCCCACTTCTACGACAGCGTGTTCCCCTGCCAGGCTGTACTCTCTCCACAGGGGTCCGGCGGACACCCGAGGAGGCAGCCTCGGGTGAGGTGAACCTGTCTCCATCAGATTCTCCCTACCACTACACAAAGGTGACCTACAGCCAGCAGGACGTGGATAAACTGCTGCGCCTGACACATTACAATGTCTGCAACAACCAGGAGCAGCTGCTGGAGGCCCTGCGCCAGGCCGTGCAGCGGAGGCGGCAGCGCAGGCCCCAGTGATGGCTGGGGCCCTGCCCCCAACCCTGCCAACAACTTTCAGGCTCATTTATTCCCTGTCCGCTCAGTTGCAGGTAGGGACCATCTTTGCCCAGTGCACCAGAGCATCTAAGGATGGGGCTCCAGGTGCAGTGGGGCTTGGACTCCCAGAGCGTTGTAGTGGGAGAAGGAGGCTGAGCCCAGAGCAGTGCTGACTGTATTTACTTCTTTGAGCATCTATGAGTCAGTTGTTTGGGGGTAATCACCTGTGTCTGCTTTCCCTTCCGCGTTCCTTTTAGTTGTACAAAGTGGGATGGAGCACTTTATACGTTATAGACACATACAAATGTGAGGCACTATCTGAGATCATCTGTTAATACTGCTGAGAAGGGCTATGTCATTCTAGGCTCTTGGTTATACAGAGCAAGGACTGTGTATCAGAACAAAACATCTCCCCAGGTACCTTACAGAGCTCGTTCAGCAGTGTGGGCTTCCTCCGAAGAGCTGGTTCTCTGCATAGGTCACCCTGCCAAGCAGGGAGGAGGCCCCTTGGGCCTGGGGTCTCTGCTGTGGTAGCCCTGGCCTTCCCCAGCTGCTCTGCCATAAGATGTCTCCTCTTCACCCAGACAGGGACAGCAGGGCAAAGCCAGGCAGTGGCTGTTTCCTGCCACATGGTGGGACCCATTTTGAAGCAAGGACCTGTCTACTCCAGAAGCTTGTCCTGGGAACGTGGGTTGAAGCAGCTAGGGGAAGGAGCCCTTGTGCCTGTAGCCGAGTCTCATTCTGGTTCCCTCGACGTGTCCTCACTTTTGGCCTTGAGGTTTGATGTTGCAGTGGGGTTCCCGTCAGTGATCAAACCTGTTAGGAAAACAGAATGAATGTAGTAGGGCCTGGCCACCCCAAAATCTCCGAATACCAGTGCCCCTGCCCTTTCCTGGACCAGCCAGCCTCCTAGAGTAAGTGTGGGGGTGGATTCCAGAGCTGACAGGCGCTGCAGCAATGACGTGGGGTGAGTAGGAGGGAATTGCCTCTATTCACAACCCAACTCCACATCTCTCGGCTCCAGCTCTGCCCTGTGCTAGACAGCAGAAGAAATAATAGCTGTCTGGGTAGCCTCAGGAGCTGCTGAGTCCAGGACAAGGCCTGGCTGTCAGCAACACATCTGAATCATAGTGTGCCCCGCAGGACTGGGAGAAAGGTACACTGGGGACCACAGCGGTGGCTGCGACACTCCAGACACATGGCTGTGTGTGCAGGTGCACATTGATATCGAGGCTCAGCCTGGCGTGGGACCCATGCATGTAGGATGTTCCTGTCGCCAGTCCCTCCCCTCTGCTTTCATCTAACCCCAGGTGTCCCCTCCTCCTGGAAAGCCTGAAGCCCTTTCTGGTTTGGAGTTAGGAAGGAGATGTGGGTGAGGGGGTTGAGCATCTGCAAGGAGGAAAGGAGGAGCCAGTTAACAGCCTCCTGCCCGTTCCTCCGCCTTCACCTCTCCTCCATGGCCTGCAGTGGCACATGCTCACCCCGGGCCCCCTCCAGTGCTCACTGGGGATGGGGGTAAGCAGGGAAGGATTGGTAGAAAACGGGTTGGAGCAAGGATGGGGCAAGGTTTGGCTATCCTGCCAATGTACTGTGCCGTGGAGAGGAAGGAATCGGAATCAAACCCAGGCAGCACCAGGCGAGGGAAACTGAGCTGCCCCTCATGCAAGCGGCCAAGCAGGAAGGGCATGCCCAGACAGCTGGCTACAGGGTCTCTGCACTGTGGAGGGTGTGGAAGGGTACAGTTGTCAAGTCTATAGGTAAATCTGGGCCTTGTGGCCTGGATTCCTCTCTCACAGCTGAGAGTGGGCAGAGGTAGCTGAGGATCTCCCATAGCATTTCCCCACAGCCCAAGAGAATAAGTCTGAATTGTGGAACCTCAGGCTGCAGATGACAGTGCCTGCCAGCCACTGAAGCCCAGGGCTTCCCACCCTGCTCCCTGCCCTAGGTGTCCCACCTGTGTCGACTTCTAGGTTGGGCATCCTCTCCGCCGCACACTCATTTGAAGAGCTGACAGGTTTGGCTTTGAGTTCCAGGCTCAGACTCTGGGCTGCAGAGCGAGGGAATAACCACTGTTAGCCTGGCCCCGACCCAAGCCATCTGCAACCACCCAGTCTGGCCGCTCCTTTCTCCAGCTTCTGGGGGTTCACCATGGCCTTGGGCAGCCTGGCAATGCCAGGCCCTTCCCAGGTGGGGATGCAGGGTGGGCTGAGCACTCATGGGCAGGTTTCCCCCCCATGCTTCCTGCCTCTGAGAAAACTCCATGCAGGTGAGCTAAGAAAGGCTGAGCCTTTCTTAGGAGATGGGGGATTCTGAAACTTGGAACAACTCAAGATCCTCTGGGCTTCTGGGAAAACAGACTTGGGAGGAGTGTTCAGGGGAACCAGAGACAGCGCTAGGATCCCAAACATTCCCTGAACACACTGTGTCCACACAGCCTCCGCAGAGCACACCAGCCACAAAATAAAGGGGTGTAAGGGATTGTCTCCTTTATATTCCTTGGAGTGGAACTGGGCTTGTTCACTATCTGCAAAACAACTCGAGGGTGGGGCCAGTCCAAGCTGCCTGAGGACTAGAAGGCTATAGAAGCCCCCAGAGCAGACAGGACAGAGCCTGGAAGAAGACAGTGTCCATGAGGATCCTGGCAGGAAGGGCTTGGGGCAGCCTCAGAACGGCAGACACCAAAAGGCAAAACAGGACCAGGATACAGCTGGGGGTCAAAACTATCCCCATATCCGGTGCCAATTAGCTGTGTGGTCTTGGGCAAGTCACTTAACCTCTCTGGGACTGAAGTTCTCTGAGAAAAGACAGTAAATCCCACTTCTGAGGAGTTAGAGATGTTCGCTGTGGAACCTCCCAAGGATGCATAAACCACCAGGGCCTTGGAGGCAGCCACCCTCCCCGCATCCTTCCCAGAAGCCTACCTGCAGCCCTGGCCAGGGCTCGCCACCAGCTCTCAGCCTGCTCTTCCGACGGTGCCGCAAACAGGATCTCTGCCCCACTGGTCAGCCTGGCACCCACACAGCCACAGGTCAAACTCCACTGTCCCTTTAGGGACCCCTGCACCTCCAGCCCGTGCTGCGCTAGGTGGCTGGTGGGCGCCATGCCCGAGTCCACTATCTCCCCTCACCTTAAGGAGAAAGTGTGTTTCCTGCCATGGTGGCCCTGCAGCCTCTCACACTGGGCTCCTGTGAGGTCAAGGAGGACCATGGAAGCCACTTTCTGAGGAGAGATGAGAGACAGGGTCACTGCAGCCTCCTCAGCTTTTCCCCATGGGGCCCCTTCCATCCTGTGTGCCCTCTGCCTTGTCTCCCAGCACGCTGCTGTCTGCATCTCCGCCCCTCCCCGCCCCCCCACACACACACACGCCCCCGGTACCTCCGCTGCCATTCTCCCATCCACGGACAGGCTCAGGGAGCTGCTGTACAAGGCCCCACGGCAGCTGTCCCAGGAGCTGGAGCTGGGCTACGGAGAGGAGGCAGAAAGGCCGCATGAGCCACGCGCAGAAGGGAAGCCAGAGCTAGGGCCTGTCCACGCCTCACCGTGGTGTGTGTGGAGCCTCCCCAGAAATTCACGGGGTTGGACCAAAGTCCCGAGGGGAAGGGGAAGCCATAGAGGGGCTCTGACAGAGCAAACAGCAGAAGGGGAAGAGCCAGCGGGTAGGAGGAATCCCCCCACCTCTGGGGTGGGGGCAGAAGCGGGGAAGGGCCCCAAGGAGCCAAACTGCCCTGAGAACATGGTTGGGGGGCAGCATCTGCCCAGATCCACAGTGTGAGGGCACCAGGCGCAGATGGCTCCTCCCAGTCCCTCCATGTTCTCCAAGGTGGGGGGCGCTGCCTAGAGAAGGAATCTCTTGCCACTTACCTGCTTCCCGCCAGGCAGCAGCTGCTGCTTGAACTCCAAAGACCCCTCCATGGTGGGAGTACCCTCTGTATTCTGAAAATACAAGATGGGGCCCTGAAATGTCAGGACCAGCACCTTCAGGAAGGCGGGCAAGGCATCCACTCCTCCCTGCCCTCTTTATTCTTCCCATCCAAGTACTGGCCAGGCCCAACCCTTAGCTTCTGAAATGAGACAAGATTGGGTGCTGATCTCGGTCAGGGTGGTTCAGCCATAGACAGCCCTCTTTATTCCTAACGACCTTCAGCTCCTGTGCCCATGGCTCCCAGCACTGGCTCCAGCGTGTAGGCCCTCACCCCAACGGCCGCACCCCCACTATACACTCCAGGGAGACCAGGGTGGGGGAGCCTGCAGCCCCATAGGGACACCTACCTGTGGACCCCTTGTCTCAGCCAGCTGTGCTCCTGGCCCCTGGTGTCCAGAGGTCCTCCACTGAAAGGATGTCAGTGAGCTGCCAGTTCTCCCGGGTTTCAGCTCCTGCAGTGGCAACAGCAGCTCCTGTTCCATCTTGGGGAGACGGGCAAGGTGAGTCAGGTCAGGGAGATGGGCCATGCCTCGGGCTCATGTCCACCTCTCCCTCTCCATCCCTCCCGCTCCGAGGCTTGCCTCTCCCTCGTTAGCTTTCAGCCTCGACTCTGGAGGCTCCCTTCGCACCAAGCCTACTGTGATGCTGCTCCTACCACTGCCGCTGGCCCAGAAAAGGATTGGGCGAGGCAGGGCAGTGGCCTGGGAGACCGTGACTCGCAGACTGAGAGGGACTGCTCCCCCACCAGCCCTCAGCGCCTGGCCGAGGCACTCCTCACCTCTGTTTTCCTCTGCATTTGGGCAAACTTCTCTTCCTGGGCTGCCAGCAGCTTTTCTAAGTCCTGGTGTCTGTGCAGCAGCAACTCCACATCTGACACTGATTGCTGGGGAGAAGCACGTTCGGGTGAGGCCCAGCTCTGGGGGTCCTGGAGCCTGGTGGCCAGCTAAGGCGCAGGACCCCCACTCACCCCATAGTCGGGCTCCAGCAGGAGGCCTTCCCGGGAGGCCAGCCAGGCCTCAGCCTGCTCCAGCTCCTGCCTAAGCTTCTGTAGGCCCCAGCTCTTGGCACAGCATTGCCGGCGCAGGGCCCAGGCCTCCTGCAGCTCCTGCAGCCGACCTTCCAGCTCCTGCAGACACTCTGTCACCTGGCGGGGAAGGGCTGCTGTGGGTGAGAGCTTGGGTAGAGCTCCCACTT